CTGAACTCACGACCGTGCACTTGCCAGGCAGGCGCTTTTGCCGCTGAGCTAAATCCCCACCCCCTATCTTCATGTATTGCTTATGCAGCTAAAACAAGTCTCAGTGCATGGTTGGTTCTACCCTATTTGTATCTTCTTATTCTTTTCTTTTTTCCACCATATTATTTTTTTTTTTTTGGTACTGGGAATGGGACTCAGGGCCTTGTGCTTGCCTAGTGCTGTGCCACTGAGCTACATGCCCGGCCTTCCACCATATTATATTGGAATCAAATCTTAGACATACTGTCAAAAACTCATCAGTCCTGGGCATAGTGGCGCATGTGTATAATCCCAGCACTTGGGAGGCTGAAGCAGGAAGATTGCCACAAATTCAAGGCCAGCCTATACCACATAGTAAGACCCTGTCTCAAAACAACAACAAAAACTAAAAAACCCACACACAACCCCAAAAAAACCAACAAAAAAAGCTCATCACTAAATGTTTCAGTCTGTATAAAGGATTTTAAAATGTATGTAACTAAAAGAAAAAACAGTGATGAGGAAATCGTTTTTGTACATTTTGTAAGAAGTCATTGAAAAAAATAAAAGGAGTCATTGAAATATTTATATATATAAACACACACACACACACACACACACACATACATGTATACATACATGCCGGCCATGGTGTTACACACCTGAGGCAGGAGGATTACAGGTCCAGCCTGGGAAATTTAGCAGCTTAGTGAGACCCTGTCTCAAAAAAGCCTAGATACATAGTTCAGTGTGAAGGTCTTGGGTTCAATCCCCAGTACCACCAAAAAAAAACAAAAGGGCTGAGTGTGGCGGTACATACTGTAACCCCAGCACTCCCAGTACTCAGGAGGCTGAGGCAAGAGATCACTGTGAAAGGCTATACTCTCAGGGATCATTTCTATAGTATGTTACTAGAGAAGTTTCTCTGATGGTGTAGTGTACAAGAGATCCCTGTGAATTTGAGGCCAGCCTGGGCTACATAGTAAGTTCAAGACCAACCTGAACTATATATAACAAGACATTGTCTCAAAAAAATTATATGTATATGTATGTGTGTAAGTATTTATTTATTTATTTATTTATATATCCATAACAATCATCACACATAAAAATATTAATCAAATATAATCAGTGTTCAAATTTTCATTTGTCTAATAAATATGATATTTTTCTGTGTGGTGCTGGGGATTGAACCTACTGGAGCCTTGGGCAAGGCAGGGCTGTCCCCCAGCCCCAACATCTGTAGATCCATACATATACACACACACACTGGAAAAGGGGATGTAAATAAAGACCATGTACTACAGTTAGATGGTAAGTCTTTCACTCTCATAACTCTCAATCTGTTTTTGTTTTGTGTTTTATTTTGGTTTGTTTTGTTACTGTGGTCCCAGGGATTGAATCCATTGCCTTTGCACTGAGCTTCACCCTCAGCCCTTTTGATTTTTTATTTTGAGCAGAGAAGTCACTATGTTGCCCAAGGTGGGCTCCAACTTGGAGCCTTCCTGCGTCAGCCTTTCAAGTGCTCGGGTCACCACCACTCTTGGCTCTGTTTATTTTCTATAGTTTGTGTATTAAGCTGAGTTGTCTTGTAGATTGTTTATATTCTCTGAGTTTTGCTGGCTCCTTTTCTTTGGCTTTGTTAAATACATTTTTCCACCCTCTGTTTTTCCTGTAAATTGATACTAGTCTCTAAACGTTTGCCAGTGTATTTGCAAAGTAAGCTGCATAGTCACTCAGAGGTGGTTGTGGGATACATTTGGGTTTCTCGCTTCAAGTCTTTTCTTTTTGCAGAGATCTGCAGCGGATAACCCTGCCCAGCATCAACCGGCTCCGGCACTTCACCAATGACACCATCCTGGACGTCTTCTTCTACAACAGCCCCACCTACTGCCAGACCATTGTGGACACGGTGGCTTCGGAGATGAACCGGCTCTACACACTCTTTCTGAAGAGGAACCCCAATTTCAAAGGGGGTGTATCCATTGCTGGTCATAGTTTAGGTAACAGATGAATTCTGTATAACCAGAGAGGACGGTAGCATTTGAAAGACGCTTGGTTTTGAAGCGTCTTATAGTGTCAGGCTCTGAAGTCCGGGGCAGTCCATGACTGTGATGGAAGAGGTGGGATGGGAGGAAGAGGGTGGTGAGTTGGGAAGATTTCCTGCTTCATGGATTTGCTTACATGTATCGTTGGCTTATGACTTTTTCTGTATAAAAGATAGCAATTTAGTGCTGATACTTAGAAATTGTCCCTTTTTTCTTCTATTTTACTTATAGGTTCGCTTATATTGTTTGATATCCTAACAAATCAGAAAGATTCTTTGGGGGATATTGACAGTGAAAAGGTAATTTAGATGTTCAGATAGGTTCTCTGGTAGTATTCCATTGTAAAGACTTTTAGATTTTTAGACATTTTTGTTTTTAGATGAGTTTAGTCTTATACTGTGATGTTAAATCTGTGTTCAACAGGCTAGTAATTATCTGTCATTCTTGAGTGGTAGAACCTTCTACAAATAACTGTGGTATTTTAAAATAACCATAGGTATCTTTATTTCCCTTTATAAGTATGTACTAATGCCAGTCATGGTGTACACGCTTGTGTAATCCCAGCACTTGGGAGACTGAGGCAGGAGATCACTAGGAGTTTGAGGCCAGCCAGAACTACATAGTGAGTTCAAGGTCAGCCTGAACTACATAGCGAGACCCTGTCTCAAAAAACAAAAACACACACTACTGATCTATTAACAGAATCTTAGAATCATTGACCTAATTGGAGTTTGCCTATAAGGCAGTGAGGAATGAAATGGATGCAAATTATTCTGATTGTCTGAAATTCTATTTGAAAGTAAGAGGAGGACTTGATGTTTAAACATCTTTTAGTAAAACAAAGTTCTATGAATGTGCATCACAGAGACTATTGATTTGCTGCTTGGCCTTTGCTGTCTTGGGTTTTCCTTTCCTGTAAGAGACCCTGAGTTCTTCCAGAGGGACTTTGTCTTAGGCTGTTTGTTTCTTAGGCTCTGTTTCCCTAAGAGCTCAGTTAAAAAAACAAAAACAAAAACAAACTCAGTAAATACTGACTGACAGTGCTAGAGAATATTTGGACGATCATTCATTCACTCGTTCATTTAAAAATATACTTTTAACTCAAGTTGTAAAAACTTGGAAATCAGTCTTCATCTATATTTTGCATAAGTTCCAAAAAAGTAGTATTAATAAAGGGAACTAAATGAATTTTGAGAATATGAGCTTTATGATTTCATTTTTAGGATTCACTAAATATTGTCATGGGTCATGGAGACACGGCGACCCTGGAGGAAGATTTGAAGAAACTGCAGCTCTCTGAATTCTTTAATATCTTTGAGAAGGAGAAAGTAGATAAGGAAGCTCTGGTAAAAATAATCTTTCAAATTTTTATGCCAAACTCTGTTCAGGATTTTTATTTATCATCACCATGTTTATGAAGAGCTTGCCCTTTAGAAGCTTTTTAGTTACATAAGTACTTCTTATCATTAATAATGCTTATTAGCATTGTGTGTTAACTGTTTATCATATAAAGTGATCTTTTAGAAAAAAGTGATCTTTGCTTTATGGGAGTTCAAAGTTCAAATGAGTTAGCCTATGTGGTGGCACATGCGTGTAATCTCAGCACTCTGGGAGGCTGAGGCAGGAAGACTGCAACTCCCAGACTAGTCTGAGCAGCTTGGCAATTTGAGACTACCCAGTGTTTGTAGTTTACTAGTAAGGGAAAGTACACAGTGGTCTAAGGATGCACAATAGGACGAAGTAAACATGTCTTGAGAGGCTGAAGGAACCCTCTGTAACACCGTGATCGTCATCAAATTGGGGTCTGTTGTTGGTCAGTTTTGTGCCACTCGTTTCTGCTGTGTTTTCACGCTGTTTTTTTGTCAGTAAATGGCACCCTTCTCAGCAGTGTGAAATCTAAGTGAATGTGGAAATAAGGGTGGTTTTTTCTGTCAGGTCATTAGGTACCCAGCTTCTCCAGGCTGTGTCTGTTTTATTTTGTTTAAGGCAGGGTCTCCTATGTAGCCCAGCCTGGCCTTAAACTGTGGTGATCCTCCTGCCTCAGCCTCCCAAGTGCTGGGATTATAGTCATCTGCCACCATGGCCAAAATTCTTGTTTTGTTTTGTTTTTAACAACAACAGTGTTCGCTGTACTACTGTGACACTGACAGTCTAGATATTTCTTTAGGTTGTTTCATGAATAAAACAGCCTTTTTTCTCTACGTTGTTAGATAAGGAAGTGGTGTTGTACCACTGGGAGCCACAAGAGAGAGCTTGTGTTTCTTCTTCTCAGAGAGCAGGACATTTAATTGATTTTATTTCGCCTAGAAATAAAAGATACTTGGTTTTCTATACATAGGCTTTATGCACAGACAAGGATCTTCAGGAAATGGGAATTCCCTTAGGACCAAGAAAGAAGATAATGAACTATTTCAAGAGCAGAAGAGATTCACAGGTATGTGCCTAAGTGGCTTGTTGGACCAAGCAGTTCTTTAAATCCGTGGTGTACTTTGTGAGCTGTACTCGGGCAAGTTCAGCAGTCTCAGTTTTTATTTGTTTTGTTTTGTTTTGTTTTTGAGACGGGTCTTGCTGTGTTGCTGCAACTGCCCCAGATTCCTTGCAGAAGCAGTCTCCCCACCTTGGGCTCCCAAGTGGTTGCCCTACAAGTGTGTGCCCCACATGCAGCTAGCTAGACAGTTTTGGAATGATCTCTGACTCCTTTAGACATTAAACACATTTTTTTTTTTTTTTTGAGACAGAGTCTTTGTAAATTAGACTGGGTTTGAACTCACTGTGTAGCCCAGGCTGGCCTCGCACACACAGTGACCCTGCTGAAATCACAGGCATATGCTGTCACACCCGGCTCTTATATACATTTTCTTTAGCCATATCCTTAAAAATGTTATTAGTTTCAGAAATCTTACTTCCACATAATTTTTTTTTTTTTTTTTTGAGAAAGGCCAGGCTGGCCTCAAACTTGAAGTGATCCTGCCTCAGCCTCCCGAGTGCTGAGAGTACAGGCGTGCACCACCTTGCCTGAGCAGCCCCACAGGATTCTTACCATTCAGTGGCTTTCATTTTTCTTTTTTTCTTGTTTTGGTACTAAGGATAAAACCTAGGGCCTTAGCACTGAACTACATCCTTAGCCCTTCACATCCGGTACCACATGCGTCGGTCACCTTGTTAAAGCGTACACCTCAGTAATTTTTTATGCAGAGTTCTGTACGCATTACTTAGCACTGTCTGACTCTAGAACATTTCCATTACCCCCAGAAGGAATCTGCTAATTTGCATCTTTGCCTTCAGCTGCTGTCAGCACTGATCTCTTCTGTCTCTGGATTTGCTTATTTTAGATATTTCCATGTCAGTGGGATCCTGTGCTAGTTGGTCTTTTGTGGCTGGCTCCTTTTATTTAGCATGATGCTCTCAAGGCTTGTCTATGTCTTAACAGTACATCTACTGTTTTTCTAGTCACCAGATTCCTTTTCATATCTTAGTAGTTAATTCTCTTCCAACTTTTTAGCAGATGGCTTAGTTTTTTTAAGCCCCAATTCTTGTATTCCATTCCTGATGCCAGAGCGCAGCCTTGCGTGGAGTTTCCGAGTGATGCCCAGCATTTCTCCTGCAGTGCTTCTTGTTTCCTTTCCTGCTGGCTGCCTAAAACTTAACTGCTACCTGAGTGGCTGTGTCAGCTTTTATTGTTGTAGGCACAGGGAATATCATTTTTTTTTTTTTTCCTGGTACTGGGAATCAAACTCACGACATCGCGCTTGCCAGGCAGGTGCTGTGCCGCTGAGCTAAATCCTCAGCCCGGGAATATCAATTCATATTTTAAGGCAGCTGTAGTTTTTACTAGATTTATCTTGCTTTATGAGGGACTCCTAGAATTATTGGTTATCATTTGAAAATTTTGCCAGGCATGGTGGTGCACACCTCTAATCCCAGTACTTGGGAGGCTGAGGCAGAAGGATCACCATGAGTTCGAGGCCAGCCTGTGCTACAAAGTGAGTTTCTAGGCCAGCCTGAATTGCATAGTGAGGCCTTATCACAAAAAACAAAACAAAACAAAACAAACAAACAGAAAAAAACACAAAGAAAAACTCTCCCAAATATCTTTTTTTTTTTTTTTTTGAGATGGGATCTTACTGTGTAGTTTAGGTCAGGCTGGCCTAATAGTCATTATGTAGCCCAAGGTGACCTCGAACTTCTGCCTCAGCTTCCCAAGTGCTGGGATTACAGGCGTGTGCCACCACACTTGGCCCAAGCAGCCTTTCAAACCAGTAGGAACATGTAATCCTTTGGCTGATTTTACTATATAATAACTCACTTAAGTCTTTTATTCTGCAGGGCATTACTCAAGCAGTCATACAGTCAGCTCCTGGGGTGAACTTCCCCAGAGAGTCTGAGGCCTGCAGCAGTACTGATGACACTAGAAAGGACGAGTATCTGGATGTCAGCATCGGGCAGGTGACCATCCTGAGTCCCTTGCCAGTGAACAGATGCAGGTGGGAACAGATGTGCCTTTATTATTAGTGAGAGCCATTTGTGTTTCCTCCTTGCAGGTGTCTGTAAAGTACCCCCGGCTCATCTACAAGCCAGAAATATTTTTTGCCTTTGGCTCTCCCATTGGAATGTTCCTTACTGTCCGAGGGCTAAAGAGAATTGATCCCAATTACAAATTTCCAACGTGCAAAGGTTTCTTCAATATTTATCATCCAGTAAGCATTGTCCAACTAATGTGGTTTTTCCTGAATATCGGGCTTATTGGTAAAGATTTGCTTTCTTCTGTACTAGATAATAGTACAGAACTTAGTTATCATAACTTAGTTATGATCATGTTGATCTGAAACTGATGAGGCAGAATGACTGCGCCTTCTTTTGAATGGCTTTACATTATTCTTCCCTAGGGTACACAGTTCCTCAGGCTGTCTGTCTTTCTTTAGCAGGGATAAATAGAGTTACTATTTTTCCTGTGCAGTTTGATCCTGTGGCCTATAGGATTGAACCAATGGTGGTTCCAGGAGTGGAATTTGAGCCAATGCTGATCCCACATCATAAAGGCAGGAAGCGGATGCACTTAGGCAAGTCTGTGTATGAAACTTGGTCATTTGAGACATCTGGCTGGTACAAACTGAATGGACCTCATTCATTCTGCCCTGCCCCGTGGACCCTTTGTAACATGTGAAACCAACCACGCGTTCTGTGTTCCTGTGTGTTGCAGAGCTGAGAGAGGGCCTGACCAGGATGAGTATGGATCTGAAGAACAACTTGCTAGGGTCACTGCGGATGGCCTGGAAGTCTTTCACCAGAGCGCCTTATCCTGCCTTGCAGACAGCAGAGACCACAGAAGAAGCTGAAGTAGAGGCCGAGTCCGGTTCGGAGAAGGCCAGTGGTCAGTGCCACTGTGCTCCGAGTCCTGCCTCAGGCCTGGAGGAGAGACTCATTCCTCACTGAGGCTCTTGCTCCCTTGGGGCTTTCTCCCTACCCCCGGTTACTGTGAGGGCTCCGTCCTCTGGGCCCTGGCTCAGCCTCCCTCTGCAGAGCCTTTCTGTCACGTTAACAGTTAGGAATTATGGAAGATGCATGAGGTCAAATGTCCAGGGAAGCTGTTCTCAAGCTTGAAAGAGCCTCACTGTGGAACTGTGGGGCTGGCGGTGCGAGCCCACAGTGTGCCTGCTTTGCATTCACAGGAGTAGATGCTACTTGCAGGTCTGCTTTATTTTTCTAGTGAGGACTCCACTTGGTTCCACTCTATTTTTCGGTTTCCGGAAGAGCTCTCTTCTGCTTGCCCTTAGTTTCTAACCTCGTGGCAGTGACTTGAGCTCTGAAAGGTGCAGGTGAAAGAAGACAAGGGGTTGGCAGCACTAGCATGACTGGGGGCTTGAGAGGAATGGGTAGGAGAGCAGCTCTGAACTGAGGAGAGAAACGCGGAGTCCAGGGACGCGACAGGTGACAGGGCCACGAGGGCCAGGCTGCTCAGCTCTGATGCAGCTGTCCTCCCCGACTGTGCAGATGGCCACCCTGAGGCCTCAGCGGCGGGGGACACGGCGCCTATGAGCATCAGCGTGGGCTTGCTGAACGGAGGCCGGCGCATCGACCATGTGCTGCAGGAGAAGCCCATCGAGAGCTTTAATGAGTACTTATTCGCTTTGCAGAGTCATCTGTGCTACTGGTAGGTGGTGTCTGGTTTTGTTTGCTTCATAGAAAATTGATAAATACAGAGAAAGGGAGATGGGCCAGTATGCACAAAATAAAAAATAAAAAGGGCTGTTGATATAGCTCAGTGGCAGAGTGATCCCCTCAATTTGATCTATAGTGCTAAACACACACCCACACATACACACACCCATACACACAAAGTGTGCACTGGTTTAAACACCATTTTATTTTATAGTTGCACAGACCATGGAGTTGATGATGCCATTTAGGCACTTACAAATGAAACATATATATGAGTGTAACTGAATTTTTTATTTTATTTTTTTGATGCTGTGGGGGATTGAACTTGGGGCATTATGTACGCTAGGTACCCAGCCTTTTGATCTTACTTTATTTTGAGACAGGACCTTGCTAAGTTGCTCAGGCTAGCCTCAAACTTGCAATCTTCCTCCTGCCTCAGCCTCTGAAATAGCTAAGATTGTAAGTGTGAGCTGCTATGCCCGGCTGTTGCTGAACATATATTAAGAAACCCATTTGAAAGCATTTATAGTGGGTAGGTCAGAATATACACAGTTACCTGATGGATTAAAGAATGGATAAATTGTGCTTAATGAATTCCATATATTACAGTACAACTTAATCACTGGAGAAATTGAAGTAAAGAAAATTACACAGCTAGGAAAATTATTGCTTAATAATATATAAGCTTTCAGGTTCTGAGAGGTATTTTTCTATTTGAATTCTGATAAAGGGAAAATTATATGATACAGTCAATACCAGTTCTGTGTGATAAATGTAATAGAGGCCATGAAAAAATCAAAGTGCATTTCAGCAAATGCAATCTGATAAGAAACTAAAGTATATTCTGTAAGAAAGATTTCTACTAGTCTGGTTTTTTACATTTCTTTTTTGTTGTTTTTTGTTTTGAGACGAGGTCTTGCTATGTAGTACAGGTTGGCCTTGAAGTCACTATGTAGTCCAAGTTAGTCTCATGGTGACCCTCCTGCCTCAGCCTCCTGAATGCTGGGATTACAGGTGTGCACCACCATGCCTGGCTGGCTTTTTATATTTCTGAGTGGATAGTATATTTATGTGGTTTGAAATCAAAGACAAAAAGCTTTAAAACTTAAAAAGTTTGAAATTCAAAGAAATTTTTGAAATGGCTTTTTAAAAATTTTATTTTGTTCCCTTATTGGTTCCCTCTGTCCCTTTCTACATCATAGTTCCTTAACTATGATGTTTCTTAAAATCTCTTCCAGCAATGGATGTGGTAGTGCCTGTCTGAAATCTCAATACTTAGAAGTTCAAGCTGAGCCTGTACAGCTCAGTGATTTAGTGAGCCTCTGTCTCAAAAGCAGGGTGGAGGTATGCAGGAGCCTGGTGTGAAGGCTGTGGCTTCATTCTCCCCGTGCAGTGGTACCATGTGTACATTTACATGTGTGGTACCATAGCACATCCTAGGCACTGTCCGTGCCTTACTGTTTTAGAATTTTTTGTATCTATTTTATATAGAGACTTCTGCTTTCTTTGTATCCTACTTTATGAATTTACCAAGTCTTCTATGATGGGCCTTTCTTTCTTTTTTCTATTTGCAGTACAGGGTTGGATGCAGGGTTTGTACACTGAGCTTCTTGCCCAGCCCTTCACACACTCTGAGGGTCCCGTGAGGGCTCTGTGCTGGCCGCGTGGAGGGGAAGCCGGGGTCCTGCTTCCTGCGGCGCTGGGTGAAGCCACTGCCGCCTAGTGTGGAACTGATGCTAGTCGTGCTTAGTCTCATAGTCGTGCACACCCCTGACCCCTTTCTATTGAAATGTTGATATTTTGTATTGATTAGTTTGAGGTAAGAGTTGCTGATAACTCTTCCTGGTTTATCTTTGAACAGTGTCAATTGGTTTTTGTTTTTCTTATTTATTTTTTTTTTTTTTCTGGTACCGGGAATCGAACTTACAACCTCGTGCATGCCAGGCAGGCACTGTGCGACTGAGCTAAATCCCCCACCCCAGCCCCAAATATTTTTTTTTTTTTTGGGTACTGGGAATCGAACTTGTGACCTTGTGCTTGCTAGTCAGGCACTTGAGCTGCTGAGCTATATCCCCAGCCCATCAATTAGTTTTTGGTAAGTAGATTTTTATTGCTCTGTTGTCAAATTTACCGATCTTCATTTTTTTGGTTTTTGGGGTTTATGTCATGTTTAGGAAGCTCTACCTTGCATTCCAAAAGAAATCATCTCCACAGTTTCTTTTAATATTTAGTAGTTATTTTTATATGTAAATCTTAGATTCACTTTAAATTATCTTAATATAGGATGAGGATAGATCCAGGTCATTTTTCCCATATGGCTATCTAGTTGTCTCAACACTACTAAAAGATTTCAGCTTCTAACTTTACTATATTAAATTCCTATAAATAATATTCCAGGTGTGGTGGTGCACACCTGTAGTCCCAGCACTTGGGAGGCTGAGGCAGGAGGGTCAAAGTTTGAGAACAGTATGGGCAATTTAGCAACTTTGAGATATCCTGTTTCAAAATTAAAAAAAAAAAGAAAAAGAGAAAGAACTGGTGACATAGCTTGGTAACAAAGGCCCTGAGTTCAATCTCCAGTATGAGAAAAAAATTCCTATAAATAACTGGGACTCACCAAGCGTGGTGGCACATGCCTGTAATTCCAGCATTTGAGGATCGACATGAATTTGAAACTAGCCTAAAAAAAACAAGAGACTATTTCTGAACCTGCTGTTCTTTATTTTTTTAAGTTTTACAGTTCCTAGTTATCACTGTTTATATATATACATATATATATGTATATATGAATGTATATGTGTGTTTTTCTTTTTATTTTATTGGTACATTTTAGATATACACGGTGACCACATTCATCATATGGAATTTGTGCCTGAACGTGATATATCTTACTTCTTTTGCCCCATTCCCCTCCCCTCACTTCAACCCCTTCCCCTCATTATTTACAAAAGTTTCGTGTCCATTTTTCCCCGCTCCCCCCATTCCCCTTCTCATTTGAACATTGGGAAATGGGAAGAAAATGTTCAAATGCTGATCTTTATTTAATCTGCTTCCTTATGCAGTTTTAATATCTAAAATAGAGCTAATTCCCCTTGGTGTTTGTTTCTTATGCTAGGGTCTCTGTATGGAGTTTGGGGAGGTAGGGGTAGTTCATGAATCCAGTGAAATTTTGGTTATAATTTCTCCTATGTATGTATATGTGATCTTTTCTGGGGAGAAATCCATGGCTTCCTTAGATTTTCAGAGGGATTCATGACTGCAGATCTGCAGAAGGGTTTGAGCCTTAAGGCAGTCATTCATGAACATTACCTTTCCAAACCGAATTTCTTGCTGTTGAACTGTGGATAGAGTGAACTGCTTGTATATACGACTAGTGTCTGGAAAATGCATGGGGAATTACTGACATTGGTTGTCAGAAGATGGGAATTGGCAGTTGAGAGATAGGTGGGAGGGAGCCGTCACTATTTTATACCTTTTATGTCTTTTGAGTTCTGAATGATGGGATTCTATTGCCTTTTCAAAAGTTGAGTACAGTTTTAAAAATGAAGGCAATCGACTGGATTGCTCTTCAGTAATGTCTCCCTAGTAAATTCTGGAGGGCGGGGGAAGTAGCTCAGTGGTGGAGCACCTGCCAAACATGAGCAAAGCTCTGAGTTCAATCTCCAGCGCCACCAAAAAAAAGTCAGGTGCTGCACACCTATAATCCCAGCACCCTGGGAGGCTGAGGCAGGTGGATCACAAGTTCAAGCTTAGCCTGAGTAACTTAGTGACTCAGTGAGACTCTCAAAATTAAAAAAACTAAAAAGGGCTGAGGACATAGGTCTGTGTGAAGGCCCTGGTTTCAGTCCCAGTAGTACTAAAAACAAAAACAAAAACAAAAACAAAAACAAAAAACGAAAAAAAAATTCTGTGGAAATGAATTGTTTTTAGTCATTTACTTTTTTTTTTTTTTTTGGTGGTGGTGCTGGGGCTTGAATCCAGGACTTGTGCACGCTAGGCAAGTGCTTCACTGTCTAGCAACTCCCAGCCTGAGCTCTCATATTCCAGACCTAATGCTGTAGTTCTTTGCCAAGTCACCTAATTGCTGCCAGTTACACCATTCCAGAGTCTGTTTTTTTGCCATAGTAAAAACTGAACTTGTAAAGTGCATGTATAAATTAAACTAAATAGTGTACATAAAGTATTTAGCAGAAATATTAATTCTATTGTTCCTCAGTGTAAGTTTTTCTCTTACAGGGAATCTGAAGATACAGTGTTGCTGGTCCTCAAAGAAATCTACCAAACCCAGGGTGTCTTCCTTGATCAGCCCTTACAGTAAAAGGGACCCGGCTCAGCTACTTAATGTAAGTGTTTGGTGTCGTACATGGGATCGTGCTATGTATCAGCGTGTTATAAAGAACCGTGGGGCCTCAAGCACTGTGTAAATACACCTCTGTTGCCTGTCACCAAAATCCAGGCTGTTACTTATTTTCCAAGGGATGGGCGAAATGAGTCGCACACTTAGAGGAAGGTTTTGTCCAGTGATGTCTGTTGTCCTCTAGGATTTCAGCTCAGAACCTTAAGTCACGATTGGCTGCGGGTCAGCATGGTGACAGTCAGCACCTGAGTCAGCCCTTCCTGACGCTGACACCGGAAACACCGAGGTGTGTGCTGGCCTGGCCCACTCCAGCTGCCGTCAGCTGTGCCTGTGTGGTGATCCCTCCCACCTTTCCTGCTCCTCAGCTTCGTGTGGGCTGCATGTTGCCTGCCACTTCCTCACCTTCGAGGTCTTGAAAAATGATCTTCTTTAATGGAGTGAGTGGAAAAACCAAGGGAAGACCTAGTACTTGGGGGTGGGTAATTGGGGATTGAACCCAGGGCCTTCACACTGAATTACATTCCCAGTTCTTTTTTATTTTTTAATTTTGGGGCAGTCTTGCTAAGTCTTAAGTAGCTCAGGCTGGACTTGAACGTGCAATACCTCAGCCTCTCACAGTGCTGGGATTACAGCCTTGCCGCCACACCCAGCTCTTAGTTTTTACCACTGGTCTCATGTGCACGCACACTTGCTACTTTTCATAACCAGGAATGGTTGGTCCCTAATTCTGTGATGATGATAGATCTCCAGAAAATGTCCCCATCTGGGAGCAGATGATTCAAATTTACAAGGCATTTGGGGATGTTCTCATTTCTAGGGTTCTCTGGACCCAAAGGTGAAGTCTAAATGAATATGGGAAGGACCTTTGGGTGATTTTTTTTGAGACAGCATTTCTTTCCTCTATATACTACATAAAGATTAAGTTTAATAAGAAGATCCTTTACTTCTTCCAGCCGACAGACTATGACTAGGAGTCCTTGATGCTGCTCATTGCTTCACAACTGTTTGGGCTGCTGTAAGGCTAAACTAAGTTGAGCTCACATGACATACATCTTTGTAAAGCAGGGTGTTGTGCGGCATAGACCTGCCCTCATCCCATACTCCCAGCTAGGGACTCTCGGGAGAGTGGACAGAGTTGACTTAGTCATTTGATGAGCTGCTGTTTTTTTCCCCAGTATTAGGATTGAACCCAGGGCCTTTGCACTGAGGTACACCCTCAGCCCTTTGATGTTTCGTATTGATGTAGACTCTCACTAAGTTGCCCAGCCTGGGCTTGAACTTGTGATCATCCACTGTCAGCTTACCAGAGTGCTGGACTCACAGGTGGGAGCCACTGTGGCCGGCTGAGAGCCTCCATTCTTACGTTGAGAGTAAAGCTGTAGCAGTGAGGAGTTGGAAATTAATAGTTTTTGCAGGCTGCTTAGTTTGTAAATAAGATCTTTTAGTGGTACTTTTATGGTGAAAGAGTTTAAGTCATCTGACATTCCACCAGGGTGAATGTGTTGCTGCGATTTCTCTTTGAAGCCATTTTGTAGGCCGGAAGTGGTGGTGCTCACCTATAACTCCAGTGAGCTGCTGAGGCAGGAGGATCATGAGTTGGAGCTCAGCCTGAGCCACCAAGTGAGGCCTTGCCTCAAAAAATAAAAAAGGACTGGAGATGTAGCTCAGTGCAGAGGCCCTGGTTCAGTCTCCAGGAATGCACAAATGCACACACAGGTGAACACTTCTGCCTCTTAGGCGCTGTGATCCAGAATGCTTATTTCACATGCCCTTGGCAGAGGCAGTGTTATTTGCGCATGAGGTCTGGCTGTGGAATTACTCATTGTGAAAGAATAACCTGTACCTACAGGGAGCAAGGGGCAGCAGCCAGAGTCACTGTCAGCCTAGTTTGGAGCTGGCAAAGTGCAGTTTCCCTTGAAGAACCTGGCTGAACCTTGGCCTAATTCTTCCCAAGACATTGCCTTTGCTATTGGTATTTTCTTTCTCATTGGTCAGCACTTGTCATTGTCTTGGCAGGACCTCTGAGAGTCCTTCTGCTCCCTCCAGATTTCCACTGGCCCCTGCTTAGCACATGGCAGAGGCAGGCGAGCTAGGTTGTATCTCTTCATACATTTTTGTGCGTGTGAATGTATCATGGTCTCCAGAGCAGTGGTATTTCATATTCACTGACATCATTTCTTAGACAACAATGAAAGAAAAAGGGCGGTGACTCATGCTGTACCCTGCAGGTCCAGGCAGTAGGGTAGGGTGCAGGTTAAGCCTGGTCTTCCTCACCATGTGCTTTCAGACTAATGCCAAGGGTAAGCCACTGAGATGGTGCAGTTATATAGACTACTTTACCATGTAAACTCTGAGTAAAGGTCACTAAAATTAAGTAGCACTCACTATATATCAAGAGTAATCCTTTGTCATATTGCTGTCTCTAATTTTACATTTACTCTTCACATTAGCACAGTAAGTCCTGTTTAAGAGTAAACCAAAAGATAACCAAGAATGAGCCCCTGTAACCAAAGATGACAGCCTGACCCTGAGAGCTAGATGAGCCGCTGTACTGAGAAATGTTCTGCCCGGCCTGTTGGGGGGCATGCCTGTAATCTTAGCACTTGGGAGGCTGAGGCAGGGAGGATCATTGTGAGTTTGAGGCCAGCTCAGGCTACACAGTGAGTTCAAGGCCAGCCTGAACTGCTTGAGTAGTTCATGTAGACATGACTATGAGACTTGACTCAAAAAACAACAAAAAGCAGTGTTTCTTACCTCGCAGCTAGGGGCGGCAACTGTGCAAATGTTTTTTACCTCACCCACCCACCTGTGCAAGCATGGCCGTGTTAGCAAGGCAGGAAGCTGGAGGGAACCCTTTATTTACATGTAAGCTGTTTGCACTGCTTCACCTGTATCCCGTGCAATCTCTCAACCAAGCCTCATTTTAAACTCTAGTGTAGCATATTCCTAGCAACGGAGCTAGTGTTGCTTATCTCAGTGAGAAGTTGTTTGCATGGAAAGATTAATAACACTGATTAGCTTTCTAATATTTTGCACTTTTGAAATGTTTGTTTTTTACATGATTATATTTAAAACTTTGGTAAATACGGAAATAAAATTGTACTGATCAGTTGCCTACTTTTACTTGGCCTCATCTATCATAGAAAGAACTAATACAGTAACTATTTTTCTTCTCCTATATATTATTAAAATAAGCTTAGGAAATAAAATTTTGGTTAAAGAACTAATATTTCAATTTTTCCCCTTCATTAGTGTTCTTACTTTCGTAGGCGGGGATTGTTCTGAACGCAAAGTTCGGCAGTTTTAAGGTGAGCAGAGGGACCCGTGGCGGGGGTGAACATCAGCCAGCAGCCTGGGAGGCTGCAGTTCTGTCACCTGTGGAAGGCGGCAGGCTGGTGTTTCTCTCCAGCCGTCCATTGCGTGCGAAGGACACGACACACACGGTCACTGTTTTATTTGACTGGTGGGCTTACTGAAGGGAAGATAATGAATTAAAGATAATGTTACAGGAAGGTCTTTCAAAATATAATCACAAGAAACAGGAAACTGTAAGGTCCTATGGTATCCTGTGAAGGAGAGACAGAAATTCATTTGTCCTCCACATAATGATAGCTGTCGTTTTCCTTTCCTGCCTTAGGTGGCAGAGCTGAATTTGGGTGAGGAGCTCCTGAGCACAAGGGTAGATGAGGTAGAAACAATCACCTGTTGGTAGTGCGGAAACCACACTTGACCATTGTCTTCTTTTTTACCATTTTTTTAGCAGTTCACACATTGTCTGTGCCTACATTGTTCAAAATAGCAACACCAGATAACTGGATTCAGATAAGATATGCACAGCAACGGTCAATTAGCCAGAACTGGACATTTTTCTATTGAAGGCTTGATGGAATTGTCACCAGGGGAAGTAAACAGAAGCAAAGGTCATGACCTAGATTTTAAGATTTTGAATTATGAGAAGCAGAAATTAAGTTTTGGTAATTAACTCTAGCTATAGCCTTCCAAAAGCTGCACTGAACTCCACTGGAAAGCGCTGGATGCTGGGATGCGGCCTGGGAAGTGTGTCCCTGGGCCACCACTGAATGGCTCACCACCTTTCCCGGGGAGCGGGGGTGTTACCAAGGAGCCAAAAACGTGTGGCTATACCATTCTGGTACCTCGGAAGGATGCACGGTCCTCTTCGGAACACTGGTGGACATTTTCCACTGAGGTAGGCTCAGCTTTTAAATATCCAAACAACAGGAGTCACCAGGTTTCCTCTGTGTGGCGTGAAGCACATGCCTGTCTTGGAATGGTTTGTGGCATTCGGCGTCTGTGAGAGGAGGGTAGTACTGCCTGTAGCACATGTAGGCCAACGTCGTGCCCATCATGGACCCGACTAGCACGTCTGTGGAGAGACGAAGTGAGAGCTGTTCTTAGTCACAGCAGGGTTGTGCCTGCCGTGGGGCCCTACAGTGCAGAGCACCTGCCCTGTGCCCCATCCCGGCGCTTGGGGGACTGGCCACTCACTCCAGACCTACGGCTGCTTTTGGCTTTCATGATTCTGGCTCAGGGTTATCACTGTTCTCTAAGCACCCAATAGAAACACTTCTCCGTGGACCAAATTAGTTTTTAGTTCAAAAGAACGACACAAGTTCATGTAGTGTTACTATCCATGGACCTGTTACCACTTCAGGAGTCCTAGAGAAGAAACTCTTCAGGAGTTACCTGCCTTGCTTATTCTTTAAAATACGGCTTGGTTGTACTGTCAAAATTTTTTTAACCTACATGGCTTTTTTTGAAGACTTCTTGAAAAAACCATAATTTGTTTTTTATAACATTCAATTTAAAGTCTTAATTATAACTTTATATATTCCAGAAACCTTATGACAAGGAAAATGATTTTTAAGAGCATAAAGTGAGCTTTATTTTGTAAAGTTTATTTCGTTTGAGATGGGCTCTGTCCCATCTAGGCTGTCCCTCTCCTGTTGGCCTTAGTGATACACTTGCCTGAGCTTCCTGAGGCTGGGGCCGTAAGCACAGGCTGCTGTGCTGCTTACACCCTTCCTCACAGCTGCAGTTTACGTGACTTAGGGCGTTCCACAGAGTGGGAGGCTCAGAACATGCCTTGTTGGGAATCGTCTGACAGAGTTAGCTTCTGTCTTCCCTCCAGGTACACTCAGCTGCGTACTGAGGAGGGGTCAGCTCCTCTTTGCCATCTGTGGGGGGAAAACCAGGCAAGGACTGTGGGGCCAACACGCTTACCTTGCCAGTGATGCTTGTAGTCACAGATTCGGGACAGTGCAATCACAGCTGCAAAAAGCAGAGGGGACAGAAAGGCACAGAGCCGCCACGACTTCCCGCGGCCTTGGGGCGTGAAGCAGTGTAACTTTCCCGCCAGGTAGAAGGACGCAAAGGCCAGACCAGCAAATGCAACTAGAAAGGGAGACAGAAAATGGTTAGGTCTGTGGGAAGTCACACCACCCGACTCCAGGCAGCCATCAGGGAGCCTGGGCAGGTGTTGGCCCTTTCTGTCTACTTCTGGGATAGATCACTGGCTACCAGAGGAAAGGGTTTTATTTTGTATCCCAGTGTTACTAATATTTTACCTGAGAAAAGTTTTTAGAATTCAAGTTACATGACTTTGGGCAGGTTACTCAACTTCTGTATGCTTTAGTTTCCCCGTCTATGAATGGGAGTCATAAATAAACTAATAGTACTTCGGTGGGTTATTTTGACTGTGAACGAGGTAAGAATCTAAAATGCTCCACAGCACCTGACACAAGAGAACGCTTCAAGAAAGGTACTTTTTTTTTTTTTTTTCAACAACTAGTACAAGATTGCAGGATTTAGGCAAATAATAAAACGTGCGAATCTCAGAGGTAACCGACCTCTAGCCTTCTGGTACTAATACTCAAGGCTAAAGCTGTGTGAAATTGTGGGGTTTTAAGGGGAGGGGCTCCAACTTCCAGCAACAAGGCCAGCTAGTCAGGTGACCCTAGCCCTCCAAGCTTCCTGGGTCAAATGCAGTGACGCCGAAGGAAGCAGAGCAGCGGAGCCCAGAGGAAACCCTACAGGATGAATGTCCGCTGGGGAAGCTCTTCCGGCCCTCGTTCACCACCGCCTCGTCCCCCGTGCACATCAACTCCACGCGGGCCAGCCCGTCCGGGTAGCAGCGGTAGAAGAAGTCTGGCCGTGGCCTAGACAAATGCAGACCCGTTGCACACTGATCACTGACACGTCCAGAAAGCGTTTTTGAGTTGTACGCGATAGCAGTAATCTTACATACAGTGTCCCCGGCAAAATAATGTAACTGGGTTAGGAGAGTCTCCACACCGAGAAAAGCATTAGTTCCAGAGCAGACTGTTAGGAAACGAAGGGACATGGGATTACTCTTTCGGGCAAGCAGCAAGTCACACTACAGCTGAGCCGCGCCTCCACACGGGGTGTTCATGGGAAATGCTGTGAGGGCAGGAAGAGCCCACTCTCGCCCGCAAGCTGGAGGCAGAGGGCAGGCAGTGTAGAAGGAAAGAAAGGCCGGGCTGCGAGTAAAGGAGGAAGGCTGGGAGAGCCGGGGGAGGGGAGGCACACGCCGGCTGTGGCGGACTCACCGTCCCACTATGAGTTTTACGGTGTTGGTGAGGACCCCGTTCAGAGCCAGGGCGAGGCTGGCGGCTGCAAAGCAAGGGCACTGTCAGCGGCTCTGCGGAAGGGGCACCGAGGCGCTCGCCAGGGGGCCGGGCTCAGGCGGGCGGTAGGGCGCACCGTGCTGCCCGCGTCCTCTGCGCGGGTTCGTGCGGGGGCGAAGCGTTAGGCGCAGAGACAGAGCTGCCTCAGCAGTGCGGGCCTCGGGTGCAGTGTGCGCCGCCGCCCCCGGGGTCACTCACGCACAGGAAGTCGGCTCTCACCCAGGGAGGCCTGTCTGCTGTCTGCCGCGTCTGCCTTCTTGAGAAATCTGGCCAGGAGGATCAGAGACAGCGGAGAGAGGAACGCAATGACCTGAACCAGATACGTCAAAGGTGAAACGACCCAGCCTCGCCCGCTGCGGTCCACGACGGGGAAGGAGGTGACCGCGCAGCACCTCCTCGGGGCAGTGCTGAAAGCAAGTCCTCATGTCCCTGACCGCGGCCGCCACCCGCAAGGGCCCCGACGCCGCAGACCCAGGAGGAGCGCAGCACGGCCGAGCGCCGGGCCGGGCCGGCATCTGGCTCTCAACATTTGAACGCCGGAAGCAGAATCGGGAGCACGCCGCTTTCGGCACCCTCCTCCAGAGGTCCCGCGGGGGCCGGGTATCACGCACAAACATCGGCTTGGCGGGGAAGTACTCGGCTTCCACGTACGGGTTCCGGTACAGCCACATCTCCTCCGGCTGGATCCGCCGCTGGAAGGGCGGGAGCAGCTCGGTCACCCTGGGGAGAAACAAGCGCGGATGGTGCTTGGCGGCGCACGGCGGGACGGCCCCCGCCGTGAACAGGACAGGGCTTCGCCCCCGCCCTTACAGGAAGGCCACAAACAGCGCCGCCCGAATGCCCACTTCAATGCCCACTTCAGCCCCGAGCGACGCCGCCATCCCCGGCCGCCCAGCCCAGCACGCGCTGACGCTGACGTGGCCGCGCGTTGACTCCGCCCCACCCGGGCGGCCGGGCTGGGCCCTGCAGCAGCGCAGATGGCACCCGGGGAACTGCGCCTGCGCCGCGGACCTCTTCCGCACGCGCAGCAGCAGCGCAAAGGTTCCGCCAAGGAGACAGAGCCTTCTCTCCTGCCGCCCTTCGTCACCTGCTGTGCTCACACCGGTGACTGCGACCCCAAAAGCAAGCAGGGCTCTCCAGGAAGCCCTCCAGGAATCCTCCTCTATGAACAGAGAAAACACACTTTGGGGACATTCAGGACAATTTATTGAAGTCAATCTCAAGCAAAATCTGAAATCAGTGGAATGTCAAAAATCTTTCCAAATTAATCCTCACAGAAGCAAAAAACACATTTGATTCCCAAAGTATCTGTAAAATAAAAAAGGCAACATCTGGGTAAATATAATGTACAAAAACTGGATGTTCCTACCAGCACACATATCAGTAAGAAGCTTAAATATTACAGGCAATCCTAAGTACACAGTAACTAGTCAACGAGCTATCTATATACAGGTTACCCAAGCTCTGCACGTTCCACACTTTGCAATAAAACATAGGCCAATTAACAACATCCTCAGAATAGTATATATCTTAAAAGTCTATGTGGCAACATCAAGTCATTATACAGTAATGCCCTAGTGGAACTCCCCCAGGGAACACAACACTAACCCTTAGTGTCAAGAGCTTCTAGCCAAGTCACAGGAACTCAGGAGACTGACTTCAGTGAATATTGATGCTTTGTTATTAAAGACTCAAGTGATTTAAGCAAAGTAACTTCACACGATCTACAAAGTTTATTACAGATAAGCAAAGTACAGAAATAGCCAATCTACAAAGGTCATTATCATAACGAACTTGAAATGAAAACAGAATCTCTAGGTATCAGTGTGTGCTGTGCAGTATTAAATGGGTACAAATGGATTTCTCATACCAATTCCAAATATGCACACACTGTTGTATAGAAAAAGATGATCTCATTGGCCAGCTGTAATTACCATTTAGCATCTTATTAGTGGAGTATGATTTTCAATACAGCATGTGACACTGAAAGAGAGGTTAATGACAACAAAGTAAAAGTAAACTTTACTTAGTCCACTTCTAAACCAACAGGAATGTCTTACAAATGCCCGATGTGGGCAACCTGGGGCCTTGGGAGCCCTCTGTACATGTCAGGAGTGTGTGGCAGGTGGGAAGGGCAGTGGCAGTCACATTACACAGGAAAACGAAGGGCTGAACCGTGTCTTTAGCAACAATGCCATTTTCCCTTTTCATTTGCTGGTTACTAACCTTCCCTTCACACGGAAGTGCCGCAAGTGCCCCTTTTTGTCACTTCTGTAATGGACTGATAAAAGAACTGAAAATCAAAAGTGGTTTTGATAAATAAGGGTTATACACAGCATTTTAGGAGTGTAACGTAAGTGCAAAAGATTATTTCCCTACACAGGTATATAGTGAAAGGAAAAAAGAGGCGCTTGGGATAGGCCTGACACAATGAAGAACACACATAGGAAACGTTTGTAAAAACGCTGCTGGTATCTCACACAAGAGTCCCTTCCTCCAGGGCACACAGGAAATCTCAGCATCTACTGTGAACAAGTGCTTTCATTTCCAGAACTTTGTTTTTAATCCAGGTGAAAGAGGACAAGACATGAGGCTATTTGTTTTCAAAATAGTACATAAAACAATGCTTTCTACTTCATATATTTTTTAAAAAGGAAACTAAAATGAGAATCTGAAGAGTTTCAAGTACTTAAAAAACCTGAATTCCATGAGGCAGAGGTCTCAATGTTAAAGTGACTACATCGTACTTGTGGTAAACATTATGATACCCTCCCTCACCCCATAAGGGGTCCCAGTACCCAACCCCAAGTAAAAGTTGGTAGGATTTCAGTATATACAAATTTCCAACTTTTCAATATTCATTAACTCACTGTAAAGCTGTCTGATTACATCTATTCCCATTTGAAAATGGAACTAAGTTCTATACCTTTCTTTACAAGTAACCAGAGACCAAGTCTAGGCGGCCTTAGGCTGAACAGGAAATTATTTCATTTGATCACTTCCTGTCTGCAGCAACTTGGATAAGCAGGGGTGGCTAGATGCACCAGGCTTGTAGAAAGGCATTGGAGGCTACTCAGAACTGCCCACGATAGAGCAGCTTCGCCGCTGGCACCAGACCTCATATGGAGGTAAAGCACACACCAGCTTGCCAAGCTTCCTTATTCTTATTGTTCGGACATGGCATGTGGCTGGCAACACCTTGACTTCATGGTGGAAGTTAAGAGCTTTCTGTCTAAAAATCAAACAAAGGCAGGCAACTGGTCCCGAGTAGTCCAGAGATTACGTTCTGACTAGGTGGCATCTCCAACTCGAAAGTGCAGGTCTGGGTTTGACCTGATTGGAACACATCACACAAGAAACTACTCAAAAAACAGATGACATCAAATGACCAGGAAAGCTCTCCACCAGCCTGTGCCATGGCAATACTTTACGCGGTTAGACACCTGACACCTCCCTTCCACGTCATTCACTGCATGGTTCCCAGCACTACGTGGAAGTCCAGAAAAGAACTGGGAATGGCCCCCGCTCCCTTTACCTTCCCAGAGACATCCCTCACTGGAGCACTCAGAAATCTCCAAGCTTCCATGACTCTAAAACTCAGCTCACTCTAAAGCTTAGGCCGGCATGTGTGAGAGTGAAGGTGGAGCGGGAACCAGTAAACACAAAAGCGAAGAGCAGCCCGCCTCCCTGCTCTCCTGCCGATGGCCCCGGCCCCAGTGTCTCCTGGGCGGCCACTGCTTCCTGGAAACAGCCAGGACTTTTTCCAGCTCCTACGGACCTAACTGCTGAAGCTTTACGCTGATGGTCTTTTGGCAGATCATGGTCATTGTAGGGTTTTTATTTTAGGCTCACTTCCTCCTCCAAAGAAGTAACATGAGGTTAAGTGGGGGAAAATACCTACAACCACCATTATCCTGTGCTGCTTTAAGTTATTTCATTTTTGGATGAGTATAAAAACCAACCACTTAAGCTCTGACCACATGCAGACTTAAAAGTTAACAAATACCCACAGCAGACTGTGAGTGAGAAGTTTGTCTTTTGGAGTATTTTGTTGTGTGGCACAGGCAAGCACAGCGTGTGTACACTTACGCACACACAAGGCGCAACTTTCTGCTTTTACAACCTTCAACTTGAGCGCACCGAAGCGGGTCAACAGTACACCACAGAGCTGTGAGGAGAGGCCCTTGGAACTGGCATAATTAAAACCACTTTTCAGACCATTAAGACCTTAGAACTATGGTTAGCTATTTTATACCTTGATTTCTGAAATGACAGAACAATCCTATTATCATTAAAAAAAGATTAAAAAAGTCTCTGCAGAGCTCTTGTTATAGATATAAAAACAAAAAGTGACATAATGAGAAGCTGCATTAAAAATACTTAAACCTAAGGTATCTGCAGTTTATAGAACGTACCCTGGCTTACCATATAAAAGTTATCAGATATTAAATAGCACTAAAGTCCAAAACAAAACAAGGAGATACAATTTCATGTTGGACATTGTTTCAACAAGAGCTGCATTTAGAATATTAAAGGAAATCTTTGTGTTAGTAAGTTTAAAAAACCATACATTTATCATATATCTATATAAAATAAGATTTGAGTATGAGAAAACCTAGATTTTCTTAAATTATTTTTAAAAGGACATCAAACTATATAATTGCTCAAAAGCAAAGTCTAGTGTTGCTGTGAGCTGTATTTCATGTTACTCACAGCAACTGGATTTGGGAATGTGTACTTTCCATTTTGCTCTTTTTGGATCATATGTAATGAACAGAATTACTGGATGACCAATAAGTCACCTCAGAATTAATTGCTGCAATTAGGCAAATGGCAGTTTAGAAGCTTAAGTAAAAAGGAATTGTAGTGTTGTTGCTGTTTTTTACAGGAGAAAATCCAGTATAATTGCACATTTCTGTATTTAAAAGGAGAAAGAGAGGCACAACACAGCTTTTTCTTCTTTCCATAGAACAGCTCTCGACTGGCAAGACAGTGAAACACACACGACATTACTGAAGGGGTGCACAGCATCGCCCCTCCCTGCCTTTGTAAGGAACTGAGCACTTCTGAGAGAGAATAAATGCTACCAGGTATCAGCAACTGTAAGCAGTCAGAATTCACATAGAAATCTGGAAGGTCATTTAGGCTAAGCCTAGACTTCTACTGAACAAGAGCGTTCCGTCTGACGTCGCGAACACTTTCATGTGAGGAGTATAGGAACGTACATATTCCTAAGCACTAAGTGAGTTTTGTCAATACCTGCAGGCAGAAGACTCAACATCCAGCAATGACTTCTGCTAAGACAGACCTCCTTGGGTGCTTCTTGAAGTGCTTCCTAATGTGAAGTACATTCGTGTGGCTTCTGTGTATCTTATAAAAGCAATTCTTGCTCTTAGTTATGAGGACAGTTTTAAGCTGTTGAATAATACTAAATAGAAGTTGTTCACGTATAACTTGAAGATGCCCCTACTGCATTTACCCCACCAACTAAACTCAATTTAAAAGGTCTACTTTAGTTTTCTTGTGCAGTTTTGCTAGGAAACACGATTGAATGGTCAGTTGATCAAGAAAATGTTTGATTACAAGAGGAAAATAGAGATACAAAAAAAATGTCCATAATTTTAAGACCAATTCTACACTGAATTCTACACAAAACTGAACATAAAAAAAGGTGCTTGGACGATTCCACTTTTGGTCTGTGCCTTTTGCATTGCTGTAGCTGCTTCTGTCAGTGTCAGAGCAGGCGTGATGGCTCTGCTGTGATTCCCGTCCACACAATGCATGTCACTGGAAGCCCACTGTCTGCGGACAGTGAGCAACTAAAAAAATGTATCATATCCCTTTGTAGGTAAAGTTACTATATCACAAAGTCCACCTCCTTTAAGACTACCGAAATAGCAATATAATACCTGGGAGGAAAGCTGTTCTCCAAGATTAGGAAAAACATTCTGGAGGGAAAGAGAAGGCAGCCTACCTACTGCTCAGTAAAGAGGACTTTTTCTAGAAGGCTTCTTCCAATTCCTCCTTAAAACACACATACGTACATCAACTGACAGACTATCTGAACGACACTTTTCAAAATTCCTAAAAATGAAAATAAATAAAAAAATTATGGCTACTTTATACAACCAAGGAATACATCTTAAACTTTAAATTGCTCTCATTAACAAAACAACTTTCTGTTGTGATTTTAAAAGTGAAGACACTTCTTTTCTCAGCTGCAAAAGCACTGAAGCACAATAAAAGGCAAGGGAAAAAATGGGTGGTGGTGGTGGGATTTAACCTTTCACAAAAGAAATCTCTACACCGGCAAACAAAACAGAAAAATCAGACATCTCCAATTGCTTCTGCCTGTGTGAGCCGGTCTCGCACCTTTGCTTTAATAAAACAGTCTTGATGGGCAGAGGCTGTGTGCACTCAGCAGTCTCTTGGTTTTGAAATGCAGTATCCGCTTGTTTTCTTCATCTCATTTAAACAGGAAGTGGGGATCACCATCCATTTATTCCTTTGCCTCTTCTCCATGATCCCGTGATTCCCATTTACACTTGATCTTGCTCCAGTATTCTGATGACACAGGCGACGCGGGGTCGTGCTCAGAGCAGCAGAGACGGCCCTCCAGCGCAGAGGTGACCAGAGCTCCCTTCCCATGATCCTTGCAAAACGAGTGTGGACAGAACTCGCAGAAGGAGACAGCCGCACTGCTGCATGCATCGCACTGATGCCACGGGCACTCCCACTTTCCTAACATGGCATAGGAGAGGGAGGGGAGTTCGTCAGTGCCACGGTCACCCAGGGAAACCCTGAGCTCCACTCTCTTCTCTGACTGCTTGCTCCAGTGAAACGGACACCTAGAGTGTGTCATTTCCTATGGACGTGAGCTGGCTCAAGCCCAATGCCACAGGTGCTAACTCCCTGCCTGTTTAACACTCAGTAAGAAACCGATCCTTGCTACCACACAAGACATCTCAGTTTTCACAGACAGATTTTTCACTAGCATAATTCTTTTTTGAGACAGGGTCTTGGTATGCAGTTCAGGCTGGCCTTGAACTTACTATGTAGCCCAGGTTGGCCTCAAACTCAAGGTGGTCCTCTTGCCTCAGTCTCTCAAGTGCTGGGATATTACAGGCATGCACCACCATGTCAGGCTTCACTAGCATAATTTTGTTTGCTATTGTTTGTTCTGTTCAACACTTCTTATTTCAGGACTCTACTAAGGGCAGCAGGATGTATTCTGAGTTACACACAGTGAAGACACATGCAGAGGGGCCCTTGAAGGTCTAGCTTACCATACGGTGGCTGAGTCAAGTTAAGGCATAGGAGGTGGTATGCTTTGGGACAGTCTTTCTTGTCGCACATGACCAGTTCTCCACCATCTCCACATTGAAAACAATAATCTTCATGCATCTGCTTTGGTTCTGTTTTGACTTTTCGTCTTTTCTGCTTTAACTTGGCATTTTTTGCCTTCTCTTCAGCTGTAGATACACATGCCGCCTGGCAGGAAGGAAGGGCGGTTTCAAAATCATAGATAGTGACGGAGTTTTACACAGAAAAGAAAACCCTTACAATAACTGAAATTTGTCTGCTGTGCAACTCCTACGAACGCCACAATGACTTACCCTACAACAATACTATACTAAAAAGTGGGTCTGCTTTCATTGAGTTTTAAAAGAGGATGCTTTTTTATTTTTGTTTTTAAAGAATTGTTATTAAAATTGCAAGGGTGGTGGTAAATACAAACAACCTTAACCCAACGGTACTCAGATAACCTATGACTCTTTTCATCAGATTAAACCCACGTATCACAACAGTCACCAGTGTAAAGGTGGTTTTAGTATATTGTTGATTTTTAAGTTTTACGAGAGCTTTGCAAACTTCGTATTTAATCAGAAATTGGGCCTCACTGGAAACTCAGAGTCTGCATACTACTGCTGAGCTGCAAGCAAAGCAGGAGCCCATATGCAACCTCCCCTGGGATAAGCACGCATGAACTGCTGCGCACCCCACCACTGACCTTTGGCCGCACTCCCAGAAAGCCGCTGCAGTTGTCTGCCCCACAGTGGCACTCTGTCCTGCCATTGCCCAGACAGTCCAAGTTGTAATTGAATGTCAACTCCATGCCTGAAACGTAAGAGACTTGATTCTTCGGACTCGAGTCATGAGGAGGAGAAATGTGTCAAGTGACACATCTTGACACCAAAAGGAAGGACGGCACTTCTGATGTGAAGCAAACCACGGAACCAGGAGAGGGGAAAAGGAAAACCCCATCCACCAACAACTGTGCAGCCTTAAGTACCACTCTTTTTACAAGAGTAGTTAAAAACAGTGTAATAGGGACCAAGAATTTATAATCCACAATCAAGAGTAAAAGCTTCTAGTTGAGCCCCCTTTTTTTGCTTGAGTTTTTTTGGGATATGGTCTGGAAAAGTTGCTCAGGGCAGCCACAAACTCACGAACCTCCCGCCTCAGTATCTAGTGGCTGTGATTTTGTATCCACCACCCGACAGCACAGCTTACTAACGCTATTTCTTTGAGTTTCTAAGTAAACAATGTGACTGTGGAATTGTCACAATGCTGTTCCCCATAATCAGTGCCTTATATAACGAACAGGTGGGGGCTTAAAATGGAGTTTACCACATACACGGAAGACCGAGGATTCAGACGAGGTTCTCCCAAACTTCCTTTTAACTGGGCTTGACTAATTCAGAGTTCTAGAAACATTGTATTTACTTATTAGTTTGTTTTTCAAGACAAGATCTCACTATATAGCGCAGGCTGGCCTTGAACCCACTGTGATTGTCCTGCCTCTGCCTCCTGAGCCCTAGGATTATACGTGTGCTCCACCATGCCTAGGGCCTAGAAACATTTTAAATCTATGTCAGCTACACGATTTCTCTTCTCATCCATTTCTCTACAAATTTAACAAAAGAGAAACTAAGTTTTTCTGTTAAGGATGCTGGATGAGCCAGCACTATAATCACAGCATTTGGAGGCGGAGGCAGGAGGACTGCTGCTAGTTCAAAACCAGCCTGAACTACACAGCAAGGCTCTGTCTCAAAAAAACAAAAGGAAATAATACAGAATGCTGGATGAGAAGGCAGCTGTGCTGGTACACATGTGTAATACCAGCTACTTGTCAGGCCTGAAGCAGGAAGACTGAAAATCGGAGGCTAGCTTGGACAATTTAGTGACAACCTGTTCTAAAGCAAAATTTTAAAAAGGGATGGGGGTGGGGGTGGCACAGACACAGATGGGACAGGGCAGGGTGGGAGGAGCTGCATGGGAAAGGAAAAACTGAAATAATAGCTCCACCTTCTGAGGCTTCCTCTGTCTAACTTACAACAGAATGATCTCCCAAAGTAAGAATAAGAAACTAGCTGATGTCAACACAAGCTAATTACTTTTTAATATGTTTTAGAAAAGAAAGCAACAGCTAAGACATCTGGTTACATTACAGACTGTAATAATTTGGAGAAGTAAATGCCCTGGGAACACAGAATCTGCCATGCCCTCTCTTACAGAAAGGCTTCTGCTAAGTCTTCTCTTTATCTTTCCTTGGCAGCGAACACTCAACTCCACATACAACACACATAGTCTTACCTAACAGCTGAGCATCCGCCCGTGAAGAATAATGTCTTGCCCTCAAAAGACTACCCTAATGCTAACCCTCACCATAGCCCTGACCCTGACCCTGAGAGGCTCAGGAAGCACATAGCTTTCCTACCTGCAGGGATATCACAAAGAGCAAAGAGTCCAACTCGAACATCTCCATTCACTGTCCATTTCTGTGTTTCACAATTTGGATTACAACTGTGGTTCATAAAACGAGAATAATTTCCTTTGGGGCCGGCATCAATTATACGGTCCTTCAGGGAGAAAACAAAAGAAAGGTTCCTTTACTATGAAATCAAATAAACCTGTTTCAGACACACCCAGTTCAGTCCAGGACACAGGGTGGCAGTGCCTGCTGTCAGCTGATGTCTGACAAGGACGACTCTACACACGTGACACGCCCTTTGCCATGTCTAAGTTTTCTATTTTATTCGTTAAACTTTAAGTAATTAAAGTGGAAGATAGTTTCTTTCTAAGCTTGCTTCTAGAAACAAACATACCACAGAAAATGCTGCTTGCCTTAGTGGGCCTTATGTTTAAGTATTTTCTGATTAGAAGTTTTATGTTCAGACAACTACACTGGTGTCTTACTGTCAGCCCTTCTTTCCTGCTTTCTGAAGCAGGGAGCAAAACTATGGGGTGAACAAGAGTAAGCCATAAAGATAGAAGAAGGGAAAATGAGAAAGCATCTCTAAATGAAGACTTAGAGCTCAGTCTAAAAGACGGCCGCTATGGCATGGAACAGACTTTCCAGCAGTGACCTATCCATTTTCACTTACACTAGAATTCAAAATATAGTAACAGCCCAACACTTTGGCCGCCTGGACTTGAACTCTGGGTATCTGAATGAGCTGTGAGGACCAAGCCTCCCAAGTGTTGCTGATTTGGCTGGGAGCCTGCTTACCAGGCAGGTAGGATTAAAGGAGCCAGACTCCAGCATCATAAAAAATGGTGTTTACATTCACAAAATGTGTTTATGAAAATTGTAAAACTTTCAAATAACAGCACATCAATAAAAATTCTTTCAAATGATCTCTCTTACTTTTAATTGTGTGTGTGCTGGGGTTTTTTGGGGGCTGGTTCTGGGGATTAAACCCAGGGCCTCATGTGTTCAGCAAACGCTCTCCCACTGAACTACATCCCAGTCCTAATGCTATTCTGACTCATATTTGAGACAGTCTGGGATAGAAAACGTGGGCATTAGTCTTGTTTTTTTTTTTTTCCCCCAAGGGTCTTGCTATGTAGTCCAGGCTGGCCTTGAACTCACTAGGTAGTCCAGGCTGGCCTCGAACTTGAAGCAAGCTTCCTGTCTCAGCCTCCTAAGTACTGGGATTACAGACATGCGTCACCACACCCAGCTAGTCGTGTTTCTTAAAACTGTAACAAGATACTCAACAAATCACTTATGTCTGAACCAGTTTCTTGTCCTCTGTAAGTCAGAAGACTGTTGAAAACAACTGAATGAGATAATGAATGTAACGTGCAAATACACACAGGTCTTACAATTACACTAGCCAATTGTACGTTTCACTGTCATTTCCTTATGACAGCACTTTCCCAACTCATTCTTAAAAAGTTTTAATACACCAGACAATTTAGAGTTTTTGCTAAATCGGAAATTTAACCACAGTGCTGATTCTCTCCTTCAGTGATAGACAGAAGCCCAGGGCTTGCAGTGACTGAGGAAGCGCTGGGGCTCACGTCCAGGGTGGAAGTCCAGATCCGGCATTCTCAGTCTCTCTCACGCGATGCACAAGGCTTCCAGTGACTCATCTTGTACTTTTTTTTAAATGGTAGCAAAGTCTTACTAAAGGTAGGAAAAGAAATAGGCTCTACAAAATGAGTTAGAGCCAAGTAAAAGGAGGAAAAAAAGTGCACAATACTGCAGTGTGCGGGTGGCCACCATGCCAGAGAGCAGAGGCTTGTCTTGTACTCTGTATAACAAACACTTTACTGTAGGTAGCATGGTGGCTACTGCAAATCATTATCATTTTCTTGAAAACAAATCAAAAGCAAATGAGTTCAACCTAAAACCACGAAACAAGAACAAAATAAAATTCCCTTTTTCTTACCCCAAAAAAAAGGCAATTTTACCTTGGTAACAGTTAACATATAAAAATTAGTTACACTGTTCTCGTGAGCTCGCTTGATTCGAAGTCTGCATTCTTCTTCATCAATTAATTCACCAACATATTCATTTACAAATTCACCCTGCAGAGAAGCATGTAATTGTAAAATTAGTGTATTATATTAGAAGGCATGCTTTAACAACAGGTGCATAATCCAAGATAATTAACTAAAAAGAATTCTTTAATTTTGGTTGATTAATTAATTCATTAACTGATACAGGATCTCCCTATGCAGCCCAGGCTGCCCTTGAATCCATAGTGACCCTCCTGCCTCAGCCTCCCAAGTGCAGGGCTTATATGTATGTACCACCATGCCTAGCTAACTAAAAAGAATTCTGAGACTCTAACTTGAACCCCAGAGATAAATGGTGGCTATTTATTCATGGCTACTCAAGTGGAGACATTTTTCTTGTGCAAGTGCCTCAGAAGCTGCCAGTCTGCGGGTACCTTCCAGCAGACATCACATGGCTGTGCCTGACATCTGAGGACACAGCTGAGCCTGGTCTCTGAAGCTGTGTTATTGCAGACGGTTCCTAGTTTGTAGCTGAGTGTGGGGGATCACTCGTAAGAACTGTGGAAGATCTAAATCTGAAGTAAATAAACTCTAGCTTTGTGGTTGAAAATTTTAAATTATTGATATTCACAGGAAGTTAGAAAAGCAGCACAGAGAGCTCTGCACCTTCCATACAACCTCCTCCAAAGGTAACATCATTGAAAAAGACACCACATTAACACCAGAAAATGGATGCTGGCTCACAGCCTCGTCCCCATTTCTTCAGGGTCACACACAGTTGTGTGCCTGCGTGTCGCTTCGTCAGATGCAGTCATGCAGCCATCACCACGATGAAGACACACAGCTGCTCCTTCACCTGCAGCTGCAAGGACCATGGCTGTACAGTTATACTCCTCTTGGCCTACTCCACCTATTGAGCATCTGGAAGCCCTCACTTGGTCCCCACCACACTAACTGTGCCACCTCCACAAAGGTCTGTGAATGTAATCATACAATGTGCAGCCTTTGGAAATTCTCCCTTTTTTGGGAGACAGGGTCTAACTATGTACTCTTGGAGATCCTCCTGTCTCAGCCTCCTGAGTAGTAGGTTAACAGACATCATGCCTGGTTTGAGACTGGCTTAAAGAAAAAAAAAAAGACAAAACCCTCAGGCTAATTTCCTTGAGATTAACACAAGCTGTGTGTACCAGGGGTTGTTTTTAATGCTAAGCAGAACTCCTCAGAATGGATGCACTGTAGTTAAACCACTCACCCACTCAAGAACACGTGGGTGGCTTCCAGATTTGGGCTACTACAAACAAAGTTGCTATGAACATTCTGGACAAGTTTTTTGGTAGATATATGCTTTATTTTTCTGGAATAAATGCCAGGAGAGTGATTTGCTTTATTTTTAAAGAAACTGGCAAACTTGTCCGGTATGGTGGCACACGCCCGAAATCCTAGCACTCGGGAGGCTGAGGCAGGAGGATCGTTGCAAGTTTGAGACCAGCCTGGGCTACAAAGTGAGCTCAAGGCCAGCCTGAATTGCGCAGGGAGACCCTGTCTCAAAAAGACAACAACAACAAAAAAAGAAACTGGAAAACTGTTATGTACAGGGTCATTACATTCTACCCCCCACCCCTGCCAGAACCTGGCACTGGCTGTGCCGTTGTGGCTGCTCCAGTAGGGGTGCAGTGGCATTACACTTAATACAAGAGGAGGCGCTGTGCATCCTACACTTGCGTCTGTGATTACACCGTCACTAACCTTTCACCTGTACAACACAACTCATTCAGCCCAGCACAAAAGCATAGTGTACAGTGTTTGTTGACACTTCAGAGAACAATAAATGTCTTGGAAAAAAAACCATGTATTTGCTTATTATTTCACTGACAGTTCTGAATATTAGAACTGTTGATAGTAAATATCAGTAATCTAAGGATTAAAAGCATATAAGCCAATGCTCTTAATAGTGTTTACTCTTTTTTTGTGTGTGTCTTTTTGAGACAGGGTCTCACTATGTAGTTGAGGCTGGCCTTCAACTCATTATGTAGCCCAGGTTGTCCTCCTGCTTCATCCTCCCAAGTGCTGGGATTACAGGTGTGTGCTACACAGCTGACTACTCTCTATTGATAAAAATAGGTCACTATTTCTATATTAAGAGAAGTCAGGGGCAAAGTTGGAAGGACTAACCCAACCTTGCCTGCGTCAGTCCTTCTCTGGCAATGTGCTACAAATGACATGGGCGAGGACACCTGCTGACTTCAAAGAATTGCATACTCGTGTCCCCTGGGAAGTGGGTATCACAAAAGCTCTCCAGCTTTTTCTCTCTCTTATTTATTGCACAAGTCATGACAAAGAATTAGACTAAAAAAGCATTATCATTCATTATGGCAATATCATAAACAGAATAGTTCATCTTTCCCACTTTGCAGCTCCTGCTCGCAAAGGACTCTGGGTATTCTGCGCCCTCACATCCCACGTCCTATGAGCCTCAGATGGCTTTTTCCTCATGCAGTGGGGATCTGACTCTAGCTGATGGACACTATTTTACACTCCTTCATGGTATCACAGCCCTGAGAGTGGAAGACTGCATTATTATCTGGCTGCACCGCCACTTCCTGGTACTATATTTAGCTATTTTATGGCAAAAATTTCCCATCTTCCTTTTTTATTATTTATCGTATGTTTGCAATACATAATAAATACACCCACTACAAAGAATCAGTACATATACCTATCACATCCTGAGATGGCAAATTTTCTTTAATGTAAACTTTAGAGCAGAATTTCAATCAAATTCCCTCCATTTCATCTTTTTCACACAATGAGAGTCAAAGTAAGATTTCAGTTGAAGAAATAATTTTGTGGCTCCAAAAGCTTGATAACTACTTAGTTTATTATTGTACAGAAATAAGTGAATATAGAAAAATTAAAGTGCTGATGTCAGATATGAGGAATGCAAGATGCAAACCTGATACTATGATGAACAAACAGAAATATTTCAGATGTCCTGAAACTGACAAAAATCTTCAACCTGAAAGAATTGCTCACTGGGTTTAGCCATTAACTACAAATTCAATTGTGAACAATAACAAACAAATTAAGGGAACTTTAAAAAAAAAAAATGCTACAAATCTGCCCTAAAAACTGCAACAAAGGCTGGGGTGCAGCTCAGTGGTAGAGCACTTACTTGCCTGGTGTATGAGAGTCTCTGGGCTCAATGCCCAGCACCTAGAACAAACAAAGCATAACAACGAAGTTGCAGGGAAAAGGTGGAAATTCAGTATCTAGTACTTTTCATGGTAAACGATGTACTTAGCATGTGCAAAGCCCTGGGTTCAATTCCCAGCACCCCAAAAGAACTTCGAAAAAGAAATCACTTCATAACAGGAAGTCAGTCCTTTGTTTAACTCATAAACAACTTTTCAGGAACCTGTTTCATGTGAAAAGAGGACTGACTGACTGTGGACACTCAATTTCATACTTGATGGGATAAAACCCACGCTACTCTGCTATTTATTTTTGAGACAGGGTCTCATTAGGTTGCCCAGGCTATGCTGAAACTTGCGTTCTTCCTACCTCAGTATCCCAGGTGGCTAGGATTACAGACATGTGCTTCTGTATTCAGCTCTAATTTGCCCTCTTTATGGTAAATGTATCAAAGATCTTTTTCACATTGCTATAAAGTCTTTCTGCTTATGCTTTTCAATGAATGATTCTAGCTATTATGTGAAAGAACAACTGTCTTCATTAACAATCCCTCAAGTGCTAAAAACACAGAACCCAGATTTTATTTTTTCTCTTGATTATATTACTTTAGGATACATTTTAGAATAAATACCGACTGAGGTTATAGCTCAGCAGCTCAAGCACCTGCCTGGCAAGTGTAAGGTCCTGAGTTCAATTCCCAGTACCCCCCCAAAAAAACCCCCATAAATTTATATGCATGATATGCATGGCATTAAATATATATATATATTTTTTGCATTATGTAACATTTTAAATGTGCTTGGCCTTTGACCGCAACCTAATCCACATATCCAATGCATCTGCAAATCCTGCTGTATCTCCTCCGATATGTCCAGAACCCAATATAGCTCACCCATGGCCCACTGGTGTCATGCCAAGTCATCTCTCGCCCCCGGTCTTCTTATCACTCTTCTCCCCTTCTCACAAATCCTGCACAGTCCAGTCAGAATTATCCTCTAAAACCCCAGTGTGTCAGACAGACTCTCAAAGGGACTGCATGATCCCTGGCTTCTGGTGTTCCTGCCATCATACAAACCCCCACCCCCATGTGCAGGACCTGTGATTTGCCTCTAACCAACAGAATATGGCAAGGGCAATGGCAGGTGTGAGAGTTGATTGTGGTATCAGTTTGAGTAAGAATCGCCTAGTGTATTAGCACAGTTCTGGGTGCGTCTGGATGACTGATTTGCTGAAGAAAGAAGGACTCACACCAGATGTGGTTGGCATCAACCAACAGGCTTGTAGCCTCGATGGAATAAAAAGGAAGAAGGAAGATGGAAGATGGAAGAAGGAAAGCTTGCTTCTGCTTCTTTGGAAGGCTCAACTTCTGAGCAGATGTTCTAGTGCTCTGGTGTGCAGATGGTCCTTTTGCCCCTGACTCTGTGGGTAGCCACTGTAAGCCTACCTTGTAAATCCTTTGTAGTTCATAGATATGTTTTATATTAAACCTGCTTCTCAGTGAATCCTAACTGACACAGCATGTATGTACTCATTATATGACTTCATTACATGAAAACTTAGTGTCTGCTTTGCTGGAACCTTCTCCCCTGCTGGCTGTAAGGAAGCAAGTACCTCTGTAGGGGACCCTAAGCCAATGAGGTTTATCCGAGGCATGGTTATTGCTAATTACAAGGGACCCTAGATAGCAAGGGACTACAGGCAACTCCAGAGGAGGAGAGCAGTGTCCAACTGACAGCAAGACCCACCCCCTCATACCAATCAGCACAAAGGAACATCCTGAGGCGCTCAGACCTACAGTTGCAGGAGCAGAGTTCTGCCAACAACCATGTAAGGAGAAAGATCTATCCCTAGGTGAGCCATAAACTGTCCACCAGCAATTCTGGAAACCTGGATTTCAACACTGGGAGATCCTATGGAGAGCACCCAGTTAAGCATTACCTGGACCCTTGGCCCACATACACTGCAGATAATAAAATGTATTACTTTTTTTTTGTCTTTTTGAGACAAGGTCTTGCTATGTAGTTCAGGCTGGCCTTGAGCTCACTTTGTAGCCCAGGCTGGCCTTGAACTTGCAATGATCCTCCTGCCTCAACCTCCCGAGTGCTGGGATTACAGGTGTGTGCCATTATGATGGCTGTATTACATTCTAAACCACTAATTTTGTGGGAATATTGCAACACAGCAATAGAAAGCTATTATGCTTCAGGGCATAGTGGCATACGCCTATGATCCTGGCTACTTGGGAAGCTGAGGCAGGAGGATTACAAGTTCAAGGCTGGTCTGGGAAACTTAGACCCTATCTCAAAAAATGAGAAGGACTGGGAATGTAGCCCAGTGGTAAGGTGCCCCTGAGTTTAAGCCCCCTAGTACCTCCCCACATGAAGGAAAAAAAAGAAAACTAATATATCAAGCCAGACCGAGTTACTTTCTACTAACACCCTCTAAACTCTAGGATTTTTCCAGGCCCTGGCCAACAGGCTGCAGAAACACTGCTTCATCTCCTCCCCATCCTTTCTACTCCCTCTTCCCAGCCCACGAGCATGCCTACTGTCCCCAGAATGCACTGGGCCTTGGGCCTGGTTTTTGTTTTCCCTCTAGTGTGAAATGTTCTTCTGTGTTGACCTAAATGGCTCTTACTTTACACATACAGGTCAAATGTGGCCTCCTCAGACTGCCCTTAATGCGTTAAGACAGCAATCCCTGTTGCCAGCTATCCCCTTTTACCAACTTTTTTTTGCTAGCATTCAACAGTACTTAAATTTCTGTTAACTATCTCCTCTAGCAGATCCACAAAGAGAAGGGCTTTGTGTCTTGTTCAGTATTATTTCTAAAGTGCCTAGACAGTAACTGGCACATAGGAGAAGCTTAAATATGTACTAAATGAATGAATTTCACTCCAAACAATCTAACTTATAGAAGGAGGTGCATAAAAACAGACGACCAACAATGTTCTTTATAGAAGGAATCTATCGATCTAGGAAATGGTTCAATAAATCACGGTACATTTTACTACGCACTACAATAAGGTCATTAAGAAGAATGAAGTAAAGATCAAGTGTGGTGGTACACCCTGCAATCCCAGCACTTGAGAGGCTGAGGCAGGAGGATCACTGTGAGTAAAGGCCAGCTAGAGGTACATACCAAGTTCAAGGCCAGTATGAACTGCATAGGGAGACCCTGTCACAAAAAAACCCAGAAATGTATATGATATTTTGTTTAATGGAAAAAGAATAAGGTGATCATACTAATTCTGGGAAAATCCTACAAATATAGACTTATGAATGTATATGTTTACTTTTTAAAAAAACTTAGTATATATTTGTAGTACATAATGATCACATTCCTCATGGGAGTTGGTTTATGTATTTATGTTTATCACTGAACAGAAAAAGGACTAAAAGGCTCAGCCCACACCATTAAAGATGGTTATTTCTGGGGAGAAGGCTAGGAATTGTAGGGATGAAAGAGGAATTTTGCTTTACCATCTTTCTGGTATTGACTTTACTACATTAGAGGGTATTTTTAAATTTCAAAAGTGATTTCTAAAAAGGTACAGAAAATTTTAAATTCCCACTAGGTCTACATCTCTCAGTGGAGACACCTCCAAATTCTGTGCAGCAGATGGCATGAGGCAAAGTGGGATGACAGTGGAATTGGGGTGGGGGACTTGTTTTAAAATGCAGATTATTCCAGACCTGTGCCAGATCTAATTTACCAGACAGTTTTTAACAAGGATCTCAGAAGGTTCTTAGGAACTCTAAAATTTGAGAGCCACTCTTTGAATAGAATTTATTGGTGATATTCATTTTCTTTTGACTTATTTGCATCAAAATTTTTTTCTAGATGGACATAATTTTTTATGTTAAGAGACTGCTTTGAAAAATTGTCTTAAAGTATAAAAATGAAAATGTAAGTGTTAAAGACCTCTAATAGCTTTTGCATAAAAAATTTAATTTTGAGACTTAAAACAACCTCCAACTAGGTAAGGCAAGAATTATCATTAAGTCTATTTCGGAGATGAGGAAGTGAGGCTGAGGGAAATTAAGAAATGTGTGATACATTTATGCCTAAAGAATTAAGATGTTGGCTTAAAGTCCTGGGTTCCCATCCCAGGACCTTTTTAGTTTTCTGTAATTTCTTTATTGAGAATTTTATATTGTGCTGCTCAACAAGTTTAAAAATCTTTCCAATAGAAAATTATAAATGTGCCTTCTCCTTTTTATGAATAGGACTCTTAAAAGTTTATGTACATTTTATTTTATCCTATTCCTACCACTTTGGTGTTTTGGTTTGGTTTTTTTTTTTTTTTTTTTTTTTTTGAGAGAGGGTCTTGCTCAGTTTGGCCTTGAATTCACTATGCAGCCCAGGCTGGCCTCAAACTCGTGGCAATCTTCCTGCCTCAGCCTCCTGAATGCTAGGATTATAGGCTTATGCCATCACACCTAGCCAATCCCAATAAATTTTATCCCTACACTCACATTCTATGGAAGAACCCCTAAGCAACTCAGGTCCTGGTCTGTTCCACTCAGGCCCCTGCCACCCTCCATTCCATGCTACCTTCTTGATGCTCCTTTTGGTCCTGAGGCCCCAGCCTCTCCGCTCTGTTTTGATGATCTCTGCATCTGGGTAGAGCCTCTTCGTAAAGCACTGGTTTTGACAACGGTCTCCAGCCGGGCACACCTGCGGGTGACACTCGTATTGCAACATTCTGTTCAGACACTCTGATTCCAAGCCACAGGGGTTCTCATCGGCAGGCTTGCAGTTACAGCGGGGGATCTCTGATAGGTCAGCGACGTGAATCTGTACCTTCCCTATGACTTTGTTAGCCTAGGAAACAGAATCACAAGTGAGAAGTAGAAGGTAAGTAATCTGAACAGGAACATCAAAACCACCATAAACACCCAGGCTATTCTGGCCTCTGCTAATATCTTGTGGTTAATTTCCCCAGAAATAACTAGTAACGACCTCTTCTTAAACAGTCAAACCTGATGTGTGCTTTCACTTACTTATTTGGTGTATTTCTCTTTCCACTGTTTGATGGAAATTTCCTAACTGAAAAATATGCTTGTCAGTGGGCTGTCTGGAATAAAGGGGCTAAATGTCTATATTTTCATTTGGCTCTGGGGTAACCTAGTAGAATAAGAACAGGATTTCACATGAGCCATGTTGCTCTAGGAACAAAGGGGTTCGTAAGAGATGTCAGAGTCCTGTAGCTTGGACTCCATTTGAAGTTTCCAATAAACAATCAGTATATTTCACAGACAACTAGCTGATAATTAGCAAAAATTTCCACAAGTCGAAGAGAGGCTTTACTGACAAAGTAACACATTTCATCTTTCACACCAAATATCAGTGTTTTTATGAGTAGACTCACTTTGATGTGTTTGTAAGGTGGAGGTTTTCTTGAAGTTTTTTCAACCTCTAGTGCTTCTTTACTTTCTCTTTGTGCTTTCAATTCCTGGAAACGTTTTGCAGCTTCTTCCAGCGCTGACAGTAAGATCAAACAGAGTACACAATTATCAAAAAAACAAACACAAAGTGATCAGACAGTAGCTTTATACCACCTTTCCAATGCCCTGTATTTGCCCCCAGAGCTGTTTTTTCAAATTTAATTCTATAGCTTACCACTTGCCAGCAGAGTAGACTAGTAACAGACTAGGAAATACCTCATGGGACATTATGCTTTCTGCACTGCTGCCCCAAGAGCAGAGATACAACTTCCATGACAGAGACCCCCAGCTGCTGACCTTGTACTAGGATTAAATCCATTTTACATGTATCCAGAAAGCCACACTTCCTAACAACGCACTGCAAAAGTTGTTGTAAGGTCTTTACTACCCTTCTCTGATGAAAAAGCTTCTCTAAGATTACCCCTTTAGCCAGACGTGGTGTGCACACCTGTAATCCCGGCATTCTGGGAGGTGGAGGTAGGAATATCATGTTTGAGCCCAGTCTGGGCAACTTAGTCATTTAAAAGACCCTATCCCCCAAAGGGGGAGGGGTGAGTCTGGGGGTACAGCAGAGTGCAGAGGGCCTGGGTTAAATGTCCAGTACTGGGGGAAAAAAGAAAGAAAATTCCCAGCATTATCTTTGTTTATAGGAAGACTGCTAAAGAAACTCCTTTCACATAGGCTGTTATATGGAAACTCATTTCAAACATGATCAGAAACTTATGGATGCAGGATCATCATGTTGGGAAATTCTCTAATACCAAAATGCCACATGCAAGTGAGGAGATGCCAAGAAACCCACACTGGAGCCTTAGTTCTGAGTCACTTACCTTTCTTGAAGGTTTTGTTAATACTCGTCTGTCCCTCAGCAAAGCTTTTGTCTCCTTCAACATATGGGAACACTCTGCCTTGGTGCACCCAGTAGTAGTCATGAGAACCAAAGAAGAATACGGGGAAGTCTCCTAAGTCATGTTTAAGGCCCTGGATGTTCAGCGGTACAGACCTGGGATTGCAGATCTCTGCTGGCCACCACCTGAAAACAAAGTCAATTTTAGACTAAGAAAATGGAGAATCATGCTATTTTTACAAGGAGGGCAGAGGAGGGAAGAATCTTGTAGTTTGCCATTTTCATTCAGATCCTAAGAAAACAAAATATTTTATCTTTAATTCACCCAAATCACATATCATTTGAAACCATTATTAATTAATAACAGTAATCTTTTGGAGACAGGGTCTTGCTCAGGTTGGCTTTGATCTCACTACGTGGCCCGAACTACATAGTGATCTCAAACTAGTGATGATCCTCCTACCTCAGCTTCCCAAGTACTGGGATTATAGGCATGTGCAACCACACCGTCTTTAATTTATTAATAACTAACAATAAGCAACACACTAAACAAAGTAGGCCATGAACATCTGATCTAGTTTATTTTAAAAAAGACATCTGACATTAAAAAATGCCTTCCAAAACTGACATTTATAAAATATGTGTCATGAAAATGTTATAAAGCATAATAACTCAGTAATACTAATCTGCAATACAAGTGGAATGTTATCAGTACTATTCCAAACAATTTTTATCCTAGAAAAACCATGTTTTCTCCTACAAGGGACATACTTAATATCTTTGAAGGTATAAAAGATTGTCTTGAAGGCATAAGAGTTCATTTCTAATAGTCAAGGGAATCATTCTGAGGATAAACTGCGGCCACAGTAAAGAATGACATTTTCCTTGCAAATCAGCATTTTTCACAATCTGTAATTAACCAGGGCAACCACCCCTTGGTCAAGATTTTACATCAGTTGATTTCAGAATCTAATTTGTCTTAGATCATAATAAGCACGGGATGCAGGGAGAATGAAAACCATTTCAGGCTATGAAACTCACCAGTACAAGTAATCAGTAAAACTATCTGTAAGGAACGTTTGACAATTTCCAGCAACCAAACAAGTCAGGAACTGAACAGTGAAGCTTTTGAATGGTCAAAAAATAAGGTCAACCTCAGTGATTCTCACATGGGCTTTTGTTGTATATAAAATCATCAATATAAACAGTAAACACATAAACTTGGATTTTTTCAATCTCTTACTTTATATATGCTTAATAAAGCCATTTCTCTTATTTTGTTTGCTTTTATTAAGTTTGCCGTACATCATGACTGCACTCATTGTCGGGAGTTGGTACCTATACATAACACATTTCAATTCTTTTTTCCCCTTCCCTAAGACCATTTCTTTAACAAATCATTGTACCATTTCGAAGATAAATGACAAGGTTGTATTCCCAGATTTATGTGGTAGAACTTGAATACATGTCATATAAAAGTTGCCCTGCTGCCCACCTAAGAATTAAAACCATGGGTGAGAATTCATGCTGAAGTTATAGAAACAAAAACCACTATTTTATGAGGTCAGTATCTTGGTTTACCCTCAAAGTGGCTAGGAAATAGTTACTCTACACTTGTTTCAAAACCATATTAAGGTTACTAAGCATGAACTTGACTGCAGTGTCCTAGGGTCAGCAGGGACACTTTCTGTGAGGGGCTGTTCTAGGTCACCGTGTTTCCCTACTTATTGAAAACAAACAGCTGCACATGACCCTCAGTGGGACTGACTGGAAAGAAATCCTTTAAGAATCAGTTCATGGGCAGAAGTCCTTCCAAAACACACCAGGTGGATCTGATGTAGGCAGAAAATCTCACTGGGCTGTGGAGTGAACTGGAGCACTGCTTTGGGCTTCCTTAAATGTACTGTGATTAAAATTTAAGTAGAAAATTAAATTAAGTAAAAGGACACCTTCATATTCATAACTAAAAAATACTTTGAAATTTATTGGAAGATATGAAGGTTTCTTATACTACTTTAATTATTTCTTCTTTTCCTTTTTTTTTTGAGACAGGATCTCACTGTGTATGTAGTTCAGAGAGGCCTTGAACTCACTATGTAGCCCAGGCTGTCCTCAAACTTGTGGCGATCCTCTGGCCTCAGCCTCTTAAGTGCTGGAATTATAGGAGTATGCCACCATGCCTGGCCTGTTTTAGGTATTTTTTTTTTTGTTTGTTTGTTTTTTTCTCTGGTACCAGGAACCGAACTCACGACCTTGCGCTTGCCAGGCAGGCGCTTTGCCGCTGAGCTAAATCCCCAGCCCCATGTTTTAGGTATTTTTTATCCAGGAATCCTCCTCCCTCCAGTACTGAGGATTGAACCCAAGCCCAAGGTCTTTGCACTGAGCTACATCCCAAACTTTTTTTTTTTTAAGATAGAGTATTGCTAAGTTGCCCAGGCTGGTCTTAAACTTGTGATCTTCCTGTATCAGTTTCCAGTGCAGCCTAGATTACAGGTATGTACCACTGCAGCTGGCTCAGGAAAGTCTTTTATTGTTTAACTGTGTACCCTTCACCACCCCAGAAAGAGAGGAAGGGAGTGAGGAAGTCAGCGAGGGTGGAAGGAAGAGACAGAAAAGGGAAAGAGAGAGAGAGAGAGACAGAGACAGAGAGACAGAGAGAGAGAGAGAGAGAAAGAGAGAGAGAAAAAGACAGAAAGAAAGAAAAAGAGAAAGAGAAAGAGAAAAAGAGAGAGAAAGAGAAAAAGAGAGAAAAAGAGAAAAAGAGAAAGAAAAAGAAGTCTTGCTATGTAGCCCAGGCTGGCCTCAAACTCTCAGCAATCCTCCTGCTTTTTCAGCCTCCCAAGTTCTGGGATCACAGACTTTCACCACCAAGAAAAACAGATATTAAATTATGAAAGTAGAATGAGTTTGTTTTAAAAGTTAAAGTGTATCAAAACATCACACTGTACCCCCCAAATATGTAGTCTGTCATTGTGCACAATTAAAATTTTAAAAATTAATGCAGAAGCAGAAAAGTAAAAGACCCTCCTCTTGTAATCTCATCCCTGAGACTGTTTTATTAAATGTATTTCTTTCCAGTTATTTAAAACACATCATACCCAGATCTACACTTAGAAATTTTATAAATAAAGCCAAATGCAGCTGAGTGTGTCTGTATTCCCAACTCCTTAGGAGGCTGAGACAGGAGGATGAGCTGAGCCCAACAGTTTCAGGCCAGCCTGGCTTTATAATGAGACCCTATCTTGAAAACAAGCCAAAACCAAAACCAAATCAAACCAAACCAAACTATGTGGAAACACACTGCATGAATTTAATATACCTTTTAAATTCAACTGTATATAACAGATATCTTCCTGTATTAGTGTACAGACCTGCATTATCTTTTCATTGGGTTTATGCTAGTCTACAATATAGATGCACTATAATTTGACAAAGCCCCTATTAACTAAGCATTTAGATGATTTAAAATTGTTGCATTTAGAAATAATATTGCTGTGAACATGCTGATGATTTCTGACTACATTTTTAGGGGAGGGCAGTATCACTACATAGCCCAGGCTGGCCTCAAACTCTCAATTCTCCTGCCTCAGCCTCACGTGGGGTTGACAGAAATATGTCACAATGCCTGGGTTCACATTTTTCCTTAGCTAAATCACACAAAATACAGTACCACAGTCACAGTTCTGACATGTGACTCCAGACTGCCCTCCAAGAAGCAATCTTTTCTCCATACCTTCACTCGCTACAAATCTATCCATTTTTTAAACATTTGGCAATCTCTGAAATGAAAAAAAGTTTTAATGTGCCTTTTGTTTTTAGTGAAGCTGACAATTTTTTTCTGTGATTATTTTCTATTTGCTATCCTTCTTTTCTTTTTTTTTCTAGTGAGGTATCTGTCTTTTCTTATTAAATGCAGAGCACTACTTTTCTTCAGTTTGACATCTGCCCTTTAAAACTGTGTTGTTTTTTGTTTTTTAACCACAGAATATAAATTTTGTGTATTCAAACTACTAATTTTGTTAGGACTAGGAGGAAAGGTAAACATTATGTACTAATAAAGAAAATGATCTGAAAAGTGAGCCTCAATCTTAATGCCCCAATTCCCGCTAAAAATGAAGTTTTTAAATTAATTAAACAGGGTTGGGGATATAGCTCAGTGGCACACTGACTCCTGGTACCAATTGAACAAGCAGTGTAAGGCAGAGAAGATAACATAGCTCTAGCAACAACAAAATCAATATGGTTGAAACTGTATAGAAATATATTTTGCTCAGGAGTCTAACTGAAAAGCAGCATCTCTAAGGTACTATCCTAATACCTATTTTCTTAGAAAATTATAAATATGTATCTTAAAATTGGAAGTTTTAAAAATGCCTTGTTCAGTGGAGCCCTGGTAAAGGGATATGTTTATTAAAATAATGGCAATCACACACAGTTCTATCTCATTCCCTTAGTAATTAAAGACTCTTATTGTACTAATCTCTCTAAATTATAAAAAGTCTCATTCTTTACATATCATTTGGGGCTTCTAGCTAGAACGAAATGGGCCAGATTCAGAGGCAAAGAGAGCTGCTTTGGCTAGGATATAAACTTTTGATCCTATCAGAAGTCAGAAATTAATATAAATATAATTAAGACACAAAGAAACTATTACCTCCACTGTCTCCATAAAACCTTTTACTCCAAAATCTAGTAGCACCTAGATCAGTAGTATAAAATAACGTTCAGAACCTAAAAACAATTAACCAGCTACCCTCAAAGAAAAAGAAAACACCAAATGAGGACCTAACCTTCCCAGCCCCTACGCCACACTGAGCCCCACGCCTTTCTGGAGGGAGGCAGGTCCTAGCAGCTCTGATTGTACACCTGCTTGGAGCAATGACTGGACACCTACTCTTTGTCCTTGGAAAACTTGCCTGTAATTTCCCAGTTTGACCCAAACAATCTGCTTGTAATGCAGTTTCTTGCCAGCTTTACAGTCATTACAATTCCAGCAGCCTTCTGGCGTATCTATGTTCAGGCATTCTGGGTGAAAGGAAGCTGGGCACGACTCGCAGCAGAGCAGTCTTCCACCTTGAAATAAACAAATACTCTTAATAACTGAGAAAAGAGGACAAAGAACAAGAAAGAGAAAGTTATATTTTAAGTGCAATGAATTTGATTCAAATTGGGGGAAATCAACAAAGGGATTGAGTCATATATATAGCACTGGATTAAAATAGAAAACAGTGAAATATTTAACTATATTTTGGGCTTTAGTAGCCATAAACTTATGAGCTTTTGGGTACTACCAAAACAGTCCTGTAAAACGTGGACTATTTTATCAGTTTAGCAAGCAGCTAACAACTGGTAATGTATTACAAGACGGATGCATAAAATCTTTACACTGAGCCATGTGAGGTGGTACATGCCTATAATTCCAGGCATGGAGGATCGCTGTAAGTTCGAGGCCAACCTGGGCTACACAGTGAACTCAAGGCCAGCCTGAACTACACAGTGAAACCCTGTCTCAAAAACAAACAAACAAGCAAAAAACAACAACAAAAAATTTTTACATTGAGTAGATTATTTTTCAAGGAATTAATCAATTTTCTTCTCTTATTCAGAGGTAAGAAACAAAGCAATAGTCATCTTTGTATCTTAATCCAGTACCACAGTTAACTAAATCCCTTTACAATAAAATTAGCAAGAATGAATGAAAATAACCAATAGGTTGATCGGTACTTTTCTCCCTACAAAAGAATACAAAAAAGCAAAAGGAACGTAGATTTTCAAACTAGTGATCATAGTAGCATTACCTTTTCAGTGAAGAAAAGACAGTTAAACAGGCTATACAGCAGTGGTTTGCAACTTTTCTTCTCCTGTTCCACTCCTCATGAACCCACGTGTTGTCAAACACTGTATCAACCCCCCCTCCTATTTTATTAGTCAAAGAAATATGTACCTGTCAAAGATTCTGATCCAACAACAAAACAGTTACTACATTATATCATTAAAGTCATAGCCCAATATAAAGAAACTCATTTTGCACAAATGTGATTCTGTCAGGTTTTCCCAAACAATTCAACAATTTTGAATTTATCTTTTCTGACTTAAAATCAAAAACCACTGCCCTATAGCACAAAAGTAAATAATTATCATTGTACAGTGATAATTACTCTATACCTATGCAAGGGTATCTGTCCAAATTCCCTATCTAAGCCCTCTCCTTTTAAATACTCAAAATAATCTTGGGATTGATACCAAAACAGGTGTAGCAAACAAAATGATATTTTTAATTGTAGAGAAATAACAGGTATTTTGGGGAGGAGTGGGGAAGATTAGATATGTTTCAAGAAAGTTAACCTCTCAAAATGAATATAATAAAAACATTTATTTCATTTTCTTTTGGAAAATTAGGTCCACAAACCCACAAGTGTATTGAGATTTAAAGTTTCATAAGCAAAGATTAAGAGCCCTCTACACAACTGGATCAAATTACATGCTCTAACCTTTGGAGGGTTTGCTATCAATTTTCCAGAAAATCTTATCTTCCTATAGACTTTCAAACTTCTAACTGATTAACAGGAAAACAAAAAGAGAAAAATCCATACATATCCAGTGATGAATTAAATTACTATATTTCCTCTGCTTAAAAGCTACTTCAATCATTAGCATTTTGTCCTTGACTGCAGACAGAAATATGGATTTAATAGGTTTAACTCTCCAGTCCTGAGATTAGCTGCCTGAATGCTCTATGCCTAGGTAGGATAGTCTTTTGTAAATTTAAAGTAAAATGAGATTACTAAATTTTTTTCATTGGAAAGGAATGACCAAAGGGAAAAACAGTCTTTGCAAACAGTTTTAGAGGACATGTGGGGCCAGGGATGTAGCTCAGTGGCACAAGGGCTTGCCTGGCAAGCCTGAGGTCATGAGTTCGATTCCTGGTACCAAAAAAAAGAAGAAGAAGAAAAAAAGAGGACATGTGATAAGAAGAACTCATGTGGAAAACAGGTCTGTCTTTTTTTCGGTCTTTTTGAGACAGGGTCTTGCTGTACAGTTCAGGCTGGCCTTCAGTTCACTTTGTAGCCCAGGCTGGCCTTGATCCTCCTGCCTCAGCCTCCCAAGTGCTGGGATTACAGGCATGCCCAGCAGCTCTGTCATTTTTAATATTATTGAATGGTTCTACACTTTAAGTCTTGTTTCAGAGGAAATACAGAGCCAGAATCATCTGTGAAAATCATCATGATAAATGTTAAAAAATATGCAGGGGTATAGAAAAATTAAAGTATGATGATTTGCCTTGGTGCTGTGCAACAAAACTATTTTAGGATGCAAGAGAACATATGGTTCGAGCTAGGTAGAGGGCTCAAAATAATTTCAGTCCATGTCAAGGTTAATACTGACTGCTGAAAGCAAAGCAACAATTTAACCTTTGGAGGGTTTGCTATCAACTTTTCAGAAGATCTTACCTTCTGTAGATTTTATAAAGGGACCAGCAGGAAAATAAAGCATTTCCTAAAATGCCTCACTAATTTTACTGCATTACTGAGTAAGTCAGACCCTATGTCCACTTTTGTTTTGGAAGCCAGATGGCATCACCAATAAGGTGGCAAAATCACCAATTTGATTTCAAGGGAAAATAAAAAAAAGTCAATAGTTTTTCCAGTGTTTCTAACAGGTTCTAATTAACTTGCTTAGTTATACTTTCTTTGAATCATGAGTTGCCATTTCAGATATCTGACAAAGAGCAAAGATACATCAAACAGGCAACACAAAGAATGAAAAAAATTCAAAATACCTAGTGTATATACATGCTATATTATGAATGAATTTTTACTTACAGATTCTCAATCTGGCCCTCAGATCATAATGGGAATGTATACAGAAAAAGGCCTTATCTTCCATGCTCTCTGCATTTTCCCTCTGGTATAACTCCTCAAATAATATTTCCTTTTTAAAATTTTTTGAGACAGGGTCTCACTATGTAGTCCAGGCTAGTCGTGAGCTCATTATGAAGCCTACGCTGGTTATGAACTCGTGGCAATCCTCCTGCCTCTGCTCCTGAGTGCTGGGATTATAGGCATATGCCACCATGCCCAGCTCAAATAACATATTATTGTTAAGTCACTTTCCCTCCTTTACTACAAATAGGCTACGGAAAGCTAGACAGAATAAAGTTTTCTTCCACAGACAAAATTAATTCAGAAAAAAAAAATACATATACAGACACACACATACATTTAACTCTTAGCTCTCTGTGGGTAAATTCTCCACCAGCAATTCAGCTGGGTTGCGTTCCAATATCCAGAGTTTGGGGGATTCCCCACATTCTCATTTTCCCACCAAAATCTCCTAAGGTAAGGGCAGCTGGTTTTTATACGATCTTAAAACATTTAAGAAACAAAATGATAGAACATACTCTAAAATTAAGCTTTTAAGTACTATATATAGGTTTCCTTCTTTTAATAACTTATATTACTTGATGGTTATAAATTATACCATACCTAATTTATTCTAACAAGAATGACAGTTTTACTTCAGGCAAAAAAGGAAAGTTCTTAATGTATTTTTTAAATATTCAACAAAATCCTAGTTTTTCTACTATTTTAATAACCTAAACATAGGGAATGTGTGCAAATTTATTCAAGGAGAAAAGTAAAAATTTGTAATAATGGAATTATTTTAAGCCCTTTTTATAGTTTTGCAGCCATATGAAGACACAGTCACAACCACCAAGGCAGAATTTACCAAAAGCAACAGATGGTGCTTGATAGCCATACACTTCCCCCCTTCACTTAAAGAGAAAAAATAGGAAATGTAAAAATCAAAGCAAGGATAAACTATTTCAATTATTACCTTTCTCACATTTCTTTTTGGAAGCTGACGAAGAAGGAATCATAGGTAATTTCATCAACTCAGCACGATTTGATTCATTCAGTAGGTAGTGGGACTTATAGGCATAGGAACTGAACATGGGGTCTGAATGGTCCTGAACTATCAGCCCTATACAAAACAAACAGAAAGAGATGAGCTGTAATGAAACTACCCATGATTCCATGAGGAGAAAAATAAACCAACACCTATAATGCAGCTGTGCCTTAAAGTTGGGTGTAAGGACAAATAAGAAAAAGAAAAATCTGACCAAAAAAGCTTTCTACAATTATTAAAGGGAGGGTGAACTACTTGATTCCTTATCTCTAACAGAAACTTCTATGCTACAGAAGAAAATTACAAGTAACTCGAAGATATATATGGCATTTCACATCATATTGAAAACTCCCTAAGATAAATAAAGCTGCATTCCTTAACATTTAGCAGTACTATGATGACAAGCCAAACAAACTGATATTACTTAATTATCTAGAAATAAGAATCATTTACATAGGATAGATCCTAACCTCTCTACCACATATGAAACAGAACTTAAAGGCAGAATTCAATCTTTTTCTCTATTCATATCGTGAGATATACTCAAATTCTAGCTTTCTCTGCCAGGTAATGAAACTTTCCTCTATTGACTTTAACAGAGCCATATTTTCCTCAACTTTACTGAAGTAATATAAAGCATTTAAATTCTTTCCCTGTCACAATATAAAGTGATTATCAACTTAAAGGTTTACTGAAGTAGTCCCTTTGATCTACCAGTACAGCTGTCCTATTTGGAGAAAAACAAAAGATCTGCTGAGACACACCTGGGGACCCCTTCTCTCCTCCTATTCCCTTTTCCTTAACTAAGTTCATGTTTCACCTGTAAGTCACTTCTGGACCTGGGACTACAGACCACGGGAAACTTCTCTATCTTGATTACTAGCCAGTTTATAATGATCTAGGACTTTACAACACAAATCACAACAGCAATTTCATTTAGAGATCATTTTGAGGGGTGGGAAGAGTTTCACTTAAAAGGGTTACCATTTACTTTCTCCTGTAGGTCTTATTTTCATGTGATGCTGCCCTCCACTGAGGAACAGTCAAGGAATGTCTCTGAACCAGATGATAGAATGAGACTTAGAATTGCTAATAACATAAGAAACTTCTAGGAAAAGTGATCTAAGGTTGAAATAAATTACATGTATTTTATAGAGGCAGGTGGTGTAACGTAAGAAAAAAAATCATAGGCTTTGAAATAAAACAAATCACAAACAATTGCAGGTCCCTCCATGTCAGAGCTTGTGCAACCTTAGGTAAATTATTTGATGTGAGCCTTGGTGTGTTCATCCATATAAAATGGGGAAGTAACATCGTGGGACAGTTCTTTCAAATAGTATCCAGTAGAGTTTGATTTACATATGCAAAATAAATTGCTAATATTGCTATTAAAATGAATAATCTATGTCTAGGGCCCTATTTTAAATTACAATTACACAGAATGTTAATTAACCTCTATTTTATATCACCCACTACATGGGGAAAAAGATAAAGAATACATGGGGAAAAAGATAAAGAATACAAACTACACTGACAAATGTCTCACCTTCTCTTACTGATGCTTGAAGTTGGCTGTGTGTGTGTGTGTGTGTGTGTGTGTGTGTGTGAGAGAGAGAGAGAGAGAGAGAGAAAGAGAGACAGAGAGACAGAGAGAGAGAGAGAGAGACAGAGAGACAGACACACAGAGAGGCCCTAAACTTTATCTATTTATTTATTTTATTTAGTCTTTTTGAGACAGAATTTCACTATGCAGTTCAGGCTGGCCTTGAACTCACCTTGTGGCCCAGGCTGGCCTTGAACTTGTGATCCTCCTGCTTTAGCCTCCAGAGTGCTGGGATTACAGGCATGCACCACCATGCCCAGCTGCCCCTAAACTTTAAAAACTAAAAACCATTTTTCGATACTTTAATCTTTTAAGAAGTTTAACGACTTTAAACTTAGAACTAATAACTAAGAACTAAGAAAGGTCATTTATGAAGAGGGAAAAATTCTGTATGAGGAAAGAAGCAAAATAAGCTAAGTTTTCTAATATAAAAACAAGTAGAGTATCTATTTTTGTATATAGATTAGGGTTAGGTCTCTCAGCCCAGGCAACAGTGACAGCCTGTCTTAAAATAATAAATGAATGAATGAATAAATAAATAAATAAATAAATAAATAAAAACAGCTGCAGATGTTGCTCATCACTCCCTAGGTTCAATCTTCAGTGCCACCTCCCGCCCCCCACAAAGGTGATCTCCATACTTAGAGAAGGACACACAATTCAAAAGACTTGATTTAAACCAGGCACACAACTGTCATTCCAACACTTGGGAGGCTGAGGCAGGAGGACTGCCACAAGTTTGAGGCCAGTCTGACATACATAATGAGTCGAAGGCCAGCCTGAATTACAGAGTAAGACCTTGTCTCTGGAGAAAAAAAAGAAAGAGAGAAAGACTTGATTTAAACCTTCCCAAATGCTGGGTGAGGTGGCACACACCTGTAATCCTAGCACTTGGGAGGCTGAGGCAGGAGGAACACCGTGAGTTCGAGGCCAGCCAGTGCAAAATAGTGAGTTCAAAGACAGCCTGAACTATATGGAGAGACTCTGTCTTTACAAAGAAAAAGTGTGAACTAAATAAACTTCCTTAAATAGGCATTTAAATACAGTAAATATTTCAGAATATTAGTCAAATTGATAAGATGCCAATACAGATTCTGTTTTTAAAATGTGGGATTTCCCAAGCTTTCAATCAAGAGATATAAGTTAAATTTAACAAAATGACTAACAGTTTCTGTTAGTGCACCATTTTCTATCTATTCTTAAATTGAAACACCTGTTTTAAAAAATTCCCAATTACCAAATGAAATACAAAAAAAAAAAAAAAAAAAAAAAAACTGATGGTCAATATACTGATGGCACTGAATTTAGAATGTACCCCCCAAAATAAGCCAATATAGTAAAAACAATTATAAACTTTTTTTTTTTTAACAATTATAAACTTAAGGTTCAAAATGTTCAATAAATTTAAAAAATATCAAAAAAACCCAAAAATGTTGTTTAAGTTATATGTGCTTGTACACTGCCACTATAAGTGTTTAGGAATGGCAGAAAGGGTTTGCAAAATGATAAGAAGCTTTATGTACCACTGCTACTCATCTTCAAGTCTCTAAAGCTAGACACTCAATTGATAATTCATTAATTCCTTCCTATCATTACTTTCTTTAGGAAGGGCAGGCAGGAAGGCACTAGGGGTGTCTTTGTATTTATTATTTGTATTAGCATCTGCTGATATGAATCCTTTCTGTTACTGTAACAATGTAGCACAATTCCCCATCTCCAGGAAGGCCTCAGAGCAGGACACAGCGGTAACTGCTCTGCCATAAACAAAGCTGCCCACTTCAGTGGCAGACACAGACCCAGTGAGCTGTTATGTAGAAGACTGATATTTATTCAGTCTTCTACTGCCTACCTCATCTAAACTATTTGTTAAAAAACAAGAAATGCAAAAGTAAAACAACCTAAGATCTGAACTTTTAAAACATTTTTGTAGTACTTTTGCCAAATTTAACTGTCTCCTGAAGCAAAAACCAAAAAGAAAAAAGGCTTTATTTTCAAGTATAGTTTATAATACAACAAGCCTGACCTGATTAAGCCTTAGAGTCTTTTAAATACTTCACACCAAAATAAGCTGAGGAAACTTAGTGTTTATATTAAAGACAGACAAAAGCAGTATTTGGGGATATTAGTTGTCTTCTATAATGCTTACTAATTATTAAAAAACCTCCAAAGTTTCATTATCACAGAACTCAAGTAAAGCCAGACACTGCAGCACAGCCAGCTGAGGCATCCTATTTTATGTCGGCTTCACTGACCACATGCCCTCAGGGACTCGCTTGTTCTCAGCCGATCAGAGTCTTGGTGGATTTAAGTATCAACTGCTGGCAAGTAAGAAGCCTACAAGTGCTGGCCTTTAACTAGCCCACCACATATGTTGCCTTGGCTGTATCCCATCAGGCCTTCTCAGTGCCAGAGCAAAACATGAAATACAACACAATTAAAAAACAAATGTGCTAATTTTGCCTTCCATGTGAAATCTCAATCAGTTGAAAGTTCTGCATTAATGATGATGACAAGGATTTACTTCAAATACAGAAACTTTGTAAAAGCGAATAGATTTATCTTTCACTAGAAAATTAGTCAACAGAAAAACAAAGCATTTATCTGTAATTATACGTTATAACTTTAAATGCAGATTTTAGCCTAGCTTACAAAGAACTAATATTGTAACAATTTGGAGGTCTAACATTGTAAAAGGGACTAGGTGCCAGAAATGGTGATTTCTATGAGGAATGTAATAAAAGGGCATTTAGCACTGGATGGGAGATTGCACTACATGGCCTGGGTTCCTTCCTAGTGCTAAAACTCATCTTTATAGAGAAATCTGCTAAAGAACTGAAAAAGAAAAAAAGAGAAAGGATTGACACTCACTCACCTCTGGAACAAACAAAACAAAAGCCTACATTTATAGCAGCAGCAGAATTATTGCTCCGCTTGGAATGATCACTACAGATGAGAATGTAGGAGGACACAAATACACTTCCTGCAGCAATACAAGCATCTGCAGAGTGATAGGCAACTGGACATCTCAAACATCTCATCATGCGTCCTGTTTGAAGAGGAGACAAAAAGGAATTTGCACAATAAGGCATCAGCTGGATATGAAACTTTCGGAGTTGGGTCTTTCTTGGTTGCCACTAGTTACAGCAATAGTAAAACACTTCTTTCTTCACTAGGCTAGCTCTGTCATTCCTATACTATATAGTTCCTAAATACAAGCCTAAAACTCATTTAGAGGGTTGGATATGGTGGTGCATGGCTGCAATCCCAGCACTGAAGAGGCTGAGGCAGGAGGATTGCTGTGAGTTTGAGGCCAGCCTGGGCTACATAGTGCGTTTAAGGCCGGCATGAACTACATAGTCAGACTGTATCTTAAAAAAAAAAAAACCATTTAGAGATTATGTAAAGAAAACTTGTTCTAATGCTGGAGAGATAATGATATTCCCAATATGGCACCTGCCTAAGGAACTTCCATACTTTCCATGGTTTGGAACATACAGATTTTTCTTCTCATGGTCTGAATTTGCAATTTAATTCCTACTTAACCTGTTGTGTCCTGGAGTTGAACTTTTAAACCTAGAGAAAAAAGAGATGTCCCAAGTTGCTTACAATAATGTGCCTAATATATTATTTGCCATTGTATTTTACACAAAACATCACTGTGCCCTTCTTTAGCTGTGTTACCTTTACTTGCTTTGTGGATATCTTTCTCCATAGAGCAGGCAGAGCAGCAGTGCTGGGGACAGCGGAACCCCTTTGATTCAAAGATGGCAGTGGAGAATTTTCGGACACAGGCTTCATGATAGAACTTTCCACAAGCACTAACTGAACAACGCTTCACATCTTCACCCGGCACCTTACACGAAAAACATGGATGCTGCCCTGGAAGATTGGTGAGAAACAGAATAAATGAAATATGAAAGCATATTTCCTTTACAGAGAAGCAGCTATAGATATCAAAGAGCTGCTCTGGAAAGAGACTCTACTATTAGGTGTAAGAATTTAACGTGTAAGAGCCAGGTGTGGTGGTGCATGGCTGTAATCCTAGCACTCAGAAGGCGAAGACAGGACAACCCCATGAACTCCAGGCCAGCCTGAACTATAAAGTGAGAGTCTGTCTCAAAAACAACAAATGTCTTAGTTACTTTTCTCTCATTACTGAGACAAAATACGCAACCCCAAAGCTGAAGAAGGAAAGATTTATTTGGCTCACAGCTTGTAGAGTTTCAGTTCATAATCAGCTATCTCCAAGGCAAGGTAGCATGGCTGACAAACAGTGCAGACAAACAGTTCACAGTGGGCAGACGTAGCAAAGCAAGCAAGGGACCTTAGCAGATTTTTTTCTGCCCTTTCATGTTCTATCTAGGCTACTTGGCTTAGGACAGGCAGTGCCAAACCAGTAAGTGGAATGATTTAGTAGTCACATACTCTTAATCCCAGTATCCTACACTTAGATCCAGCTACCTCTCAAAAAGCCCCACCTGTGACCTCATGAAGCTTTTCGGGGACATCTAGACACAAACCATAACATTCTGCCCTGGCCCCCAAAAGACTCATATAAATTCCTGTATGCAAAAGGCATTTTAGTCCATTTCTAAGAGTTCCCAAAGTCCTAACAGTTTCAGCACTGCTGAAAAGTCCAAGTCCCAAGTCTCTGAGATTTAAGGAAAACTCTTTAACTGTGAGCCCCTGTACAAATGAAAAGACAATTAAACACTTCCAACATTCAATGGCACAAGGTAAACATTTCCATTCAAAAGGTATAAATAGGGGAATACAAAGGAAAAGGACGCAAGCAAGTCCAAAATCCAGCAGGGAAAATATTAAGTCCTGTAGTTCTATGTGCAGCATCTGAGGCAATCTGACAACTCTGAAGGGCTTGGGTGGCTCTGCCCCTACAGCACTTCTGGTGGTTGTAGCTCCCATGGCTCCTCCCTGTCTTGGGCCAGCTCTGCTCCCTCCTTGCAGTTTTCCTCAGACCATTCATGTTCCTGACATCTCCAAGCTTCTGGAGTCTCCACTGCCATCTTTGGCTTCACACTCACAGTTTCACACATTGCCCTCCTAGGGGCACACTGCCTAGCCTCCTAGGCCTTCTGAAATCTGGGTGGAAACCTTCTTGACCCTGAAACTCTTGCATTCTGCATGCACCTAAAACCAGCATCATGTGGATGATGCCAAGGTCTGTTGCCAGCTGGAGCAGTAGCTAGGCTTCCTTCTCTCTTGACTATAGGAGTCAAGGGCTTATGAACCAAATCGTGAAGAACAATTTCCCTAGGATGGTGCCATTCTGGAATATGATACTCTGGAGTTCACTTCTCAAAGCAAATTCTTAGGGCTGGGGATATAGCTCAGTGGCACAGTGCCTGCCTGGGAAGTGCAAGGTCAGGAGTTCGACTCCTAGTAAAAACAAAACAAAACAAAGAGATAATCAAAGCAAATTCTTTTATGTTTGCAACTCTGAGGCTACAGAGGATGGAGTCCTGTTGGTTGTTTTTTTTTTTTGAGATAGCATCTCCTTTGGTAGTTCAGGTTGGTCTTGGACTCACTGTGTAGCCTAAACTGGCCTTGAACTCTCAGCAATTCTCCCACCTTAGCTCTTGAGTGCTGGAATTACAGACATGTGCCACTATGCCCAGCTCTTGCTGGTCATCTTTTCTGTTGTCTTCTTCTGAAATAGTTGGCTTTTTTTTGGCTAGTCTTTTCAGCGATCAGTTTCTCCTCTGTTTCACCTTTTCAGATCACAACTTTAAAAGAGCTTCCTTTTTGGATAAACTCAAAACTGACTTAAATCATTCTGCTGGGCTCTTTGCTCTTGATTCTGAACATAAATCTGGCTAAAATCCCCTAACAGCAGCCATGCCTCTGCCTCAACATTAGACTGCCTTAAAATTTCTTCTGCCTGCCAGGCATGGTGATGCATACCTGTAATCCCAGCCCTCAGGAGGATCGTTGCAAGTTCGAGACTACCCTGGGCTACAAAGTGAGCTCAAGACCAGCCTGAACTGCAAAGTGAGACCCTGTCTCAAACACACAAACATACACACACACACACAAATTCTTCTGCCAGATTAACTAGTCCATCAGCCTTCATCTTAGTCTCAGTCAAAGTCTCTGGATAAAGATAAACTTTCTGCCAAGGTATAACACACATTATCTGGAGTTCAACAGTCAATGCAGTCAGTCCTTTGAAACAGAAACTTCCCAAGCCTGGTCTTTACTGGCAAAATTTCTATCAGCATTCTGGTCCTCTGAGCTCTGACCAGAATCTTCCATCAATGACACCTTCAGGCATTCCAGCTCTACTTTTTCACCCAGCATCTGTAAGCCTTTCCTAACTTCGAAACATTCAATGGCCCAAGATAGACGTTTCCATTCAAAAGGTATAAATAGCGAGATACAAAGGAAGGGGACTTAAGCAAATCCAAAATCCAGTAGGGCAAACATTAAGTCCTGCAGTTCCATGTGTAACATCTGAGGCAATGTGTGGTAAGATGTTAATTCCAAAAGGCTACCCTTTCCCACAAGCCAATTCCACAGGCTCCTAAACCACATGGTTAGGTACAGTCACAGCAACAACCTCACTTCTCTGGTACCAAATTCTGTCTTAGTTGCTTTCTCTTATTGCTGAGACAAAATACCTGACACCCAAAGTTAAACGGAGAAAGGTTTATTTAGTTCACAGTTTGTAGAGGTTTCAGCCCATAATCAGTTGGCTCCAACGCAGGGTGGCATGGCAGACAAACACTGCAGAGAAACAATTCATGCTGTGCAGAAGGTAGAAAAGCAAGCAAGGGACCTTAGCAGATTTTTTTTTTTTTTTGCCCTTTTTATGCTCTATCCAGGCTATCAGGCTTAGGGCAGGCAGTAAATGAACTGATTTAGTAATCACTACCCTTAATCCCAGCATCACATACCCACCTATAACTGCATGGGGCTTTGGGGGGAACATATAAACACAAAACATAATACAAAAAACAAAACAAAAAACAAAACAAAAAAAAAAACAGAAAGGAAGATACAAAAAGTAGCACTTAAAAAATGTAACTAAATTTTAAAATTATTTTGTTGGGAAATGATTATGAACTTAAAGGTAAAACATTAAAAACAATTTAGATTTCCAAAATTAATTCCAAAAGAACCCCACATGAACTTTTTTCTCAATATTTGGGAGCAGACATTAACAAAGTCTTCTCCACATAAAATAAAATATACTGTTAGATAACTGCTAATGATTTATGTATGTGAAACAGACACAAAGAAAATACTAAATTTACCCACAGAGAACACAAACTGCTTTTAAAGAAAGGTAAGTGAAAGAGAAAAATGTAAGCTTTAAAACAATGGAATACTATCTTCAAATGGCTGAAAGAAAATAATTACCAGCCAGGATACTTGGGTGAAAATATTAAAAATGAAGTGAAACCTATACTCACTAGGATGGATAAACAAAACCTGGTTATGATATGGATGTAGAATGGCCCTCAAAGTTTCATGTGTTCAGAGATGGGGCTTTTGAAAGGTAGGTGGATCACGGTGGCACTATACTCACAGATGAGTTGTCCTGTTTGAAGCAGGGGCCTAGTAAGAAGAGGAAGGTCACTGGAGGTGTCATGCAGAAGGGCGTATTCTGGTCCCTTCTTTCTCTGTTTCCTGGCTGCCATGAGGTGAGCAGCAATCTTTTTCCATGACCTCCCACCAATCCATTTCTACCTTGGAGCCACCTTACCATGGACTGAACCCCAAAACTTGTGAGCCCAACTAACCCTCTCCTCCTTTAAGATATGAGAATTGGGTATTTTGTCCTGGGACAGGAAAGCTAATACATGGTTTTTTGAGAAAATTAATAAAATTAGTATCTATGACATGAGTAATAAAAAATAAAGAGGAAGACCACCAATATCATACTACAAATACTGCAACATTAAAAAGATATTTAAAAGATCACTACCTTGCTATTAGTAAATAAATTTTAAAATTTAGATGAATTAATGGACAGTTTCCTAGAAAAATAGAACTTAACCAATATTGGCACAAAAATAAATAGGAAAATGAATGGTTCTATGAACTCCTGAAAGAAATGCAAGCATAACTATCTTCCAATGAAAGAAAATTTTAGGCTCAGAATACACCACTGGTGAATGCACTAAACACTGAAGGAAAAAATGAAGCCAGTATAATAGAAACAGAAGGAACAAATATGGGAAAAAAAAAAAAAAAGCAGATCGAAAAATATACAATAAAAATGGCTTAGAAGCCCATGCAGTGGTGCATGCCTGTAATCCCAGCACTGTGAGAGGCTGAGGCAGGAGGATTACAAATTAGTGCCTAGTGTAAGGTCACTTAGTGACTTGGTGAGACTGCCCCAAATTAAAAATTACAAAAAAAGAAAAAGGCCTAGGGATGTAGTTCAGTGGAGAGACCCTCAGTAAAATCCAAAGTACTGAAAAAAAAGACTAAGAAATACATTTGATTCTACATAAAGTTCACATATGGAGAAACTATACAAAATGTATATAAACAAAGACAACAGCACAAGACTTATAAAGAACTATAAATCTATACAAATGAAATTTAAGAAGCCTAAGTAAAAGTAGGCAGAGGGTATGAACTATGAATTTATTTTTTTATTTATATTTTATTTATTTTATTTATATTTTATTTTATTTATATTTTATTTTATTTATATTTTTAAAAAGATTTTTAAAAAAATTTCTTTAAGTTTTTTTGTCTTTTTGAGACAGGGCCTCCCTGTGTAGTTCAGGCTAGTCTTGAGCTCATTTTGTAGCCCAGGCTGGCCTCAGATTCACAAAGATCATTCTGCCTCAGCCTCCCAAGTGCTGGGATTACAGGTGTGTGCCACAACATCCAGCTGAACTATG